TCAGAATAAATTCCTTAGTGTCACAAGCTGAAGTGAGGGACCTCCAGGGAAGGTCAGTCCACCTGGAAAGTAGGTGCAGTGTGTGAAGAGGGAGTTGAGACTGATAGGACTAATGACAGGAGTTTGGACAAGATGGGACTTGGTCAGAGTAACTGGAAAGCGAACTACTTACAGAAAAATAAGCGAAACCAAATAGTCCTCTGCTTTTCTGGATACATAGACTGGAAGTAATAGCAAAAGTCTTGGCAAAAGTTAAAGAACCTATTACACTTACTTATCTGAGTAAAAAATATTTATTCAATACCTACTGGCAAAGCATCCCCCCCGACACACGCATTGCATTCAAGACCTGTGTTATGCATTTAATATAACTACAAAATTAGTTAGACTATAGATTTTTCTTCATGGAATATGTTTGAACCTTGTTCAGCTGGAAATGAAAGGATAAAAGCTAAAACATTAAAGAGAAGCTTGATAATATACTGAACAAGCCCATTTTGTTTTGCTTGACCTCTGCATTTTAATAAAGCACTTTCAAAATGAAAGGATGCTTCAAATAACAAAAATAACAATTTTGTTCTAAAAATGTCCATCTTGTTTATTCGGGCATTATTTTCATCTGCTTTGGAAGGCAGGAAATTTAATGCAAATCAATGCAAAAACAACCATTAAATCAGAATTCCACATTCTTTAACAGAAAGCTATTTTTCCACAAACTTTCCTGTTAATGCTTTACAGCAGTTGTGAGAAAGAAGCATTAATTCAATTGGCAAAAAACAGTCACCCTGGGAGGACAGCACAGGATGTATGGATGCTGCTAAAGCAGCATGCTAGATCGATGTTCCCCTGGATCTTCATGACAGGTCCTCCCCAGCCCCATGGATGTCCTGGGCTGCTCCCGTCCCGCACAGTCTCTGACTCCTAGGTCCTGTGCACTTTCCTGCTTGATTCCTGGCACCTTCCCCCTCTTTTGAGCCAGGGTGGTCCCTCCTCTCCCTCTTCTTCACTGCAAGTATGTTTTGCTTGGAGGGGAGCATTAATCCTTTTTCACACAGAGCTCCATTCCCTTTCCACAGGAAGTTTTCTGAAATCCTATTTTATTATAGATAAACACAACCCTGATAAAGTTAGACCCAGAAAGAGCAACAGCAGGACTCCTTAACAGCAATCATTCCCCTTGTACACATCAGCTTCTCCTGTCCCTTTGGGACCCTTGTATAATCAATGAGTCCCAGATTCAACTCAGATCCCTGTGGCCTCAAAGAGGTCCCTCCACCGTGATACTCCTTTCCCTACACTGGAGTATGGACTTCCCATAGCCTGGAGAAACCTTCCAGGCACATACAACAGCACACAAGGTGCATCTGAGCTCCCTCCTCCTCCCAACTCTTGGTTGCCTGTCCCTGGGACAAACCCACCTAAGTCAGATATGTAATAAGATATGTGATAAGGCTACGGGTAGCCCCAGACAGAAGTGCTTTGGGCTACAGGGCTGGCCAAACCACGGTGAGAGAACCAGCAGCACCAAATGTTGGTGTCAACAGGGAAAGTAGAAGCACTGGGTAGAAGAACACTAACCAAGCACCCTGATTTATCAGAATCCAGGAAATTATTCTCATTTTTGCTCCCTTTACATGGTCACTCCAGGTTCATTGGTGAGGGGATTTTCCTGTGGGTCATCTTCCTTTCTACTTTAAGGAACTGCCAATGAGAGGTTACACAAGGACAATTTTTGGTATTTATGTTGTTCATCTAGCTTTCTGTCTGACTTGAATGTGGTATTTTTTTGCTTTTCTTCTCCAGAGCTGAGAGTTTTAAAAYGAATGTAGCTGTGACTCAGGCACTGCTACATAGGTACTGTCTGCAGTGCAAGTGGAAGCAAACCTAGAGCTTCTCTTATTTCCTGGCATCCTGACATCTGGGAAGATTTCTTCAGATATGGTGAATTTTTCTCTCAAAATGTCTCACCTCTTTCTGGAAATGGTTTCTGATAAATCCACCTCTGTGATGGGGCAGTCACTATTTTTCTCAATTTATATGGGGGAACTTTATCTGAAAACTATTGAAACTGAATAAAGAGGGAGGAAGATAATTTCTCTTCAATCTCCCTTTTGACGCTTTAAAAGTTATTCATTTTCCCCCTCATCTCTTGTAGAAAGTTTAGAAAATCCTTTTTTATTATGTTTAATAATTTTTTTCTGGAGTATGAATTGGCAATAAAAAATGAGTATTTCTCATAGCAACCATATAGTTATGTAAAAATCTATATATATATTGTCCCAGATCCATTTTTAGAGTGAAAGTTCAGCATTGCTGAACCTGTGTAGCTCCCAGAGGAAATGAATATAACCACTGTATATATATAAAAAATGTCTATCAAGTTGATTGCAGTTATCTGAAACATGAAAAGAAACAGTAAGGAATATTGAACTATATTGAACTAAGTAGTTATTTGGGTAACTACTTTTAATTTTCAGGATTTATTATGGCAAATGCTTTAATCACTGACACAATGGTGTAATTCCTTTCYTAAAAGTATCCTGTTATCACAGAATTTGAAAATTCCAGAAAAAAACRTTACAGGCAACTTCCCTGAGGTTTTTGTCATAATAATGAATGAAATTAATATATATGTGTAGAAGCATAATGTTATATAWGTGTATAATGTAATACAATGTATATATTTGTATAAGCATAATGCTCAACAGGGAGGAGGATCTGACTTAGTTTAACTCGAATTCCCAAAGCATATTTGATAAGGGRCTGTGCAGAAGTTAAGAAAAATTAAGAAGAATGGGTAGCTCTGGAGTGAGAGCAAAGATCTTAAAACACTATAAGTTTGAAAATGGTAGAAATGTGAGACACACATACTGTGTGCACAATACTGTTTAAAAGTCTCTTAAGTGATCTGAAAAGGGGATAAAAGCCAAGGCAACAGTATTTGCTGATAGTRTGATGCTACTCATAGAGTCCAGCGCTGGGCTGTGAGGATGATCAGAGGCCTGGAACATCTGCCATATGAGCAAAGGCTGAGGGAGCTGGGYCTGTTCAGCCTGGAGAAGAGGAGGCTGAGGGGGGACCTGATCAGTGTCTATAAATACCTCAAGGGAGGCAGTGAGGAGGAGGAGGGGGTGGCCTCTTTTCAGTGGTGGCCAGCGACAGGACTAGAGGAAACGGCCACAAGCTGAGGCATCAAAAGTTCCACAGGAACTTAAGGAAAAATTTCTTGCCAGTGAGGGTGACAGAGCCCTGGAAAAGGCTGTCCAGAGAGGTTGTGGAGTCTCCTTCTCTGGAGATMTTTAAAACCCRCTTGGRTGCAGCCCTGTGCCCTGTGCTCTAGGTGACCCTGCGTGAGCAGAGGGGTTGGACTMGATGACCTCTGAGGTCCCTTCCAACCTTCGGCATTCTATGATTCTATGATTCTATGAAACTCTCGATAGTTAATAATGAAGCTCTGCTTTGAAGAACTGCTGATACACTCTACAAGGCTGAAAGGCCAGGCCATTGAAACGTCACGAGAGATTCAGTGTGGTATTCAGTGGGATATTCACAGTGAAACCCAATCCTACCTTCGCCTATAAAATTATGCACTTAGAGCGGGTTACTACCCTTACCCATTTTTTTGTTTGTAACTCACAGCTCTGAAATGTCAGCTCAGGGCTTTAGGGATTATTAAAAATCAAGTGTAAGAGATTATTACAAAGCAATATAAACCAAAATTATGATAGCATGGCATTGAAGACTGTGATTCAACCTCCAAAGGATCACATGTGCAATAATGTTTCCTCTCATGTGAAAACACACACAGGAGTCTAAGGCAAGGATTAACAGGGCAATATAACAAAAATTCCCTATACTCCACGCTGGAAATCTGCCTTGGCCATTCTCAACAAGAGGATAGCAGACTGAACGGAATATTTCTATGATTCAGCCTTGCCATTTTTATGTCTTTTGGATCTTTTCCTTTGCATTCTAACTATATTCTTGCACGGTACTGCTGCACAATAACAAAGCAAATTTTTCTCTGGTTTGAGGTAAGCCTTTCTATTAGTGGTACATTTAAGAGTCACTCTGTCCTTGCGGCAGGCAGCCACTGCTGAGCATTGCACGTTTTGCAAGCCCTGCCGTAACCCCTCTTGGTGGCTGCATACCGTGATGCACAGGTGCCATCTAGGCAGCTTCCCAAAAAGCTGCTTGTTCCCTAGCGTGCTAAGCATCCATGGACAGACCACTGCCCATAAAGCAAAGGTCTGAAAGATACCTCCTATTTATGTCTGCATACTACTCATCTGCCTCCTCCCCTCATATAGCCATTTGGGACTGCATGTTTTGGAAAGATTCACAATCACATCACTCTCGYTAATGACATTTAGGTTTTTTTTCCTTAAATTTGCTCCTTTGCATTTTCTGAATATGTATGAAAATACAAGATGATTCTTCTSTTCAATAACAAGCCAAAGTTCAGCTGTGTCCGGTAAGCATCCTCTTCATCGTCTTTCTTGGACTTCTATTGCACTCACAGGTCACACCAAACTAGTTCTTCACTATCCTTAGGTTTCTGTGCATCCTTTTATTTAATTTATTTAATATCTCCTCTATAAAATCTTTGACTCTACTTAAATCAAAAGGATGAGAGACATTTAACACTGTCTTAATCTCTTGATGTACTTACAGTAAGAGGCTGAATGGTATTGAAATACACTCAAAATTTCTCTCATCTGATAAAACACTCAACGTTTTTCAACGTTTTTCAACGTTTTTCAACKTTTTTTTTCAACGTTTTTCCTCTGAAAATAAAATATCAGCCTGAAGTGAATGGGGGACACTGTTAGATCTTCTCTCCTCAGAGTTTTCCACTAAGTTTAGTTGTATATTGGACTGACCAACATCTCTAAGACACACAGTTTAGGTTGGGCCTCTGAGAGTTAACATCACATGCTAGGGATGGTAAGTCCTGAGTCAGGAATAAGAGTCAGGAATCTCTGTCCATAAGGACAGAAATGGTGTCCATGGATATAGAGGAAGGTSTGTGTCCTTCCTATGAAACATACAGGAGACAGTTTCTCTTGTGCATTATGGTAACTAGTTGTTTTTTCCAGGCTATTTTGCAAGAGCAAATAAAACATAGCAAGCAGGAAGTCTTATCTGTCCCACCTGACATGGGGAAAATGATATTGTAGGTAGAATAAATACAGCCAGAACTGTAGCCATGGCTGGTAAGTACCGTGCTTTTAAAGCTAAGGGACCTGGATATAGCCGAGGAAAAAAATCTTTTCTACACCTAGCTGGGTTCATCCTCARTCCCAAAATACCAGCTCAGGAGTGCTGAATTTCTGTAAAGTTAACTCATTTTGTCCATATGGGATCTTCTCCTTCCACAGGGAACAAACTTAAACTCTTCTCATGTTGTGTTTGCTTGGATTGTGTTAACCCCATTAACCCATCACTCTGTTTTCTAAGATYATAGGTTGGCTTCTGATAAGCATCATCACTGCCCTGACCCTGATTTCAACCTGCTTCAGCCACTGCTACTCCCCGGTTAGCTTTCTTCAGCTGAAGTTCTGGAAAACCTACTTGAAGAAGGAGTGGGAGCTTTTTCAGGCCAAGRCCAAAGACCATGCAACCAAGCTGGCAGAGAGAAACGTGAATTACTCTTTTGAAGGCACTGTCCGAGCACAGTTTCAGATGCCCAGCCACCAGGCCTGGCAGCAGATCTGCTCCCTGAACATGCTCGGCGTGGAGGAGCTACATTACAGTGCGATACACAGGTACACGGAGACCCAGGCCAGACAGAGCGTGGGGCCTGAGCCGGCCGAACAGAGCACCCGTGGGTCAGTGCAGGAGATGCAGCACATGGGTGAATGAGGCTTCTGATGAGACAAATCCCGCCTAACGCTGGCAAGCTTTTAACTTTGTGATATAAACGGTGTTGTATACTGTGCCCCTCTTGAAGGCTCTGTGTAAAACGTGGTGTTTTGTTCTTAAATAAACTTTATTACAGTTTTGCCTATGTGCATTTAAATACATATATATAGCTCACAGTGGAAGTTTTCACATAATGCTGCTCTTTGAGAAAAAGGCATGTATTTAAAATAAAAAATATATCAGCAGGTATTATTCAAATCATGAATGAAAACCTGTATTTAAAATAATAAATATATCAGCAGGTATTATTCAAATCATGAATGAAAACCTGTATTTAAAATAATAAATATATCAGCAGGTATTATTCAAATCATGAATAAAAACCTGTATTTAAAATAATAAATATATCAGCAGATATTGTTCAAATTATGAACAAAAACCTGGAATTTGGCATTTGGCAGCTGGGGTGAAAAATCCCTAGTTTCACACTTGGTGGTATCAATGAGACAAAAAATGAAAGGAAATTTTCATCAGAATTCAGCTTATTGTTAGTTTTTTAGTAATGGTTTAGCATATATTTGACTTGAAAATATATATTTCAKTGGAGGTTAGAACAAGTTCCAGAATAAAATAGTTACTTTTTCTTAATCAGCTTTTCAAGGAAAGGACCGTGTCTTTTCATATCTGGGAAATAATTTGCGTTTTGGAACAACCTACGCATTTTAAAATGCTTTCATTGGAAACAGTGGCATTTATTTTAGCAGCTCATCATTTGGAACTGATGCAAAAAGATTCCAGTCCTTTTACTTTATGTGTTCAGCAGCTTATAGCAGTGGAACTAGAAAGTTCCTCTGAGGTAAATTTTCCTTTTACAACCTGTCTGCTGAACTAGAAGATGAACTGCTAATTTCCTGTAAGCCCAAAACTCTCCAAAATAAAAAAGGAAAAAAGGAAAAGTAGATATTTGAACGCTACATCTAGGGGAAGACAAAGCAACACTAACAATCCAGTGTCTGATTTATATTGTTTTCTATTTTAGCTGCTTTTCAGAGCAGCTAAATATTTTAAAAATAATAATAAAATGCTTTTAAATACATACTCCATGTTATACACAGTATTTTTACCCCGGAATCAATCCCTAACAAACTCTTGGATATCCCTGTCAAATAAGCTATTTAACTTGCTCCAAAATGGAGTTTAAGTCCAGAGTAACATGTCTTGAAGAGTTAGTTCATGAAAAAGATGTCATTAACAAATATTAACAAATATTTGTAGCATGATATAGCATGACACAGATATTAATAAATAATAGAAACTTAAGAAGGAGTGTTACTTTTCCTGCATAAGCAACCTAAATCCAAAATCTAATTACAAGAATTGAAGATAGTATTCTAAGTGAAGAAAARAAAAAGGAGGTAATAGGATAATTTTCATTTTCTCATTGCAAAGCTTTCCTAGAGAGCATTCTAGAGAGGTGAGTTTTAGACAGTTTTGTCAGGACTATCCTTCCATTCCTCTTACCCTTCCTCAGAAATCTTTTCCTTCAAAACTACAAATTCTAACTTGAAAAATCTTCAGAGAGATAGAAGGTATTTGTTGTGGTCATTTCCCAGAGAGGAAGCAAGAGAAGAGCCTATTTTATCTAGATGGGTATAAATTAGCTTGGAGGCTCCATTCTTACTATAAATGGAACCTATAGCATATATGGAGAAAAAAAGAAAAAAAAAAAGGAAAAATAAAATCCAGGTTTAATACTGCTTGTGGAAAGGAATAATTTTTTTTAAAATCATGTTGCCATGGAATTGCTGCTTTGCTTCGAGTCTTTTCTTCCCAGAAGTGAGAGGTTAATGTAGTAACAGGTGCCCAATTTGTTATTCCTGTCTCCAGGAAGCAGTGCTCAATTAGAAATGTCCCAGCCTACCTCTCATACTGAAGAGTTCATTTGATCATTGACCTCCAGAAGAAAAAAAAAATAAATCTGGTCTGGAATGTCGTAGGTTGGCAAAAAACAAAGTCCTGGCCCCACTGTAGCAGTAACAAAACAGTAGCAAAATGTTCCTTGACTCAGTAAGGCCTGAAGAGAAGTCTAAAAGCTGTAGCCACTGCAGCGCTGAGCTTTAAAGCTCCCCCCAAAGTAAATAAAGCTGAGACTTTGTGGTGACTTTCTGTACCCAGAGGAATGCTGTGCTTTCTCAGGCGCAGACTTTAATGGATGAGTAACACCTTTCTGGAGAGGTCTTAGCTAACGTTTGTTTACTTTCCCTTCTTGAATACAATGTGCAGGCTGATCCAAGGTGAAATTAAACATTAAACATTAAAAAAGAGAAAGGGGGAAGGGAAGGGAAGGGAAGGGAAGGGAAGGGAAGGGAAGGGAAGGGAAGGGAAGGGAAGGGAAGGGAAGGGAAAAAGGAACAGATTGATGCTGTCACATTGAACCTGTGTCCCAGCACAGGGAAGGTGGCTCAGAGTTCAGGAGCACACAGCAGCCCCTGGTCTCAACCATCAGCCTCATGAAGTTTCTTGGCCTGACCTCAGATCAGTGCTGGCTTTACTGGCCCAGGCTCTTCTGCTTTGTGCCCATTTATAGAGCAGAAGCCYATGATTGAAAATTGACCATGTCTAAGTAAAAGTAAATATTTTATCTATGCAGTTTAATCTGAAGCCCTGAAACATAAAGAAATGTCTTACACTAGGCATAACCACAGATGTTTTGCACTGAAGTATGTAATGGAGAATCCTCAGCCACCTCAAGGCCAGAGGTGAGACTCAAAGCCTCAGGGTGTCACTAATGGTCCTTACTTTGCCAATATTGAATTTTCGATGTAATGCTTGCAAGCAGGGCATGTTTCATAGACTGTGGATACACTGGAGCCAACCTACATGCCCTGTGATGACTTTCAAGCTCTTTAGCTGGTGGGAACCTCTATAGAAAGTGTGGCTGCAGGTGTGCACAGGCACATGCGCATACGTGTGTGCACATCCAACTGATTAGTATCACACAAAACAAGAACAGCACAGGTTATTCACTCTCAATGTAACAAGAGGAAAGTATTCAGTTGTTACATTCTGGGGAAAAAATGGTCGTTACCATGTAGAGGACCTTTTCATAGTCAGCCAAAGATACCACCTRCCCATAGCTGTTAGTTTGAGCACCAAAATCCCCACTGCAGGTGCACAAGTGCATGAAAGCGGCACAACTCTCCAAAATGTCTAAGCAACTCTCTAAAATGTCTTTATGACAAGAAATATAGAGGGAATACTACATGCTGTAACTTGTTATTTTAACTTGTAACAGGAAGTTGAGCTGAGCCCAAAAAAAGGCTGGGTAATGATTAGCTTGTTATTTTGCTTAAAAAGAAAAAAAAAAAAAAAGAAAAACTCTATTTCCTTATGCCACCGTGGTATTAGATTATTATGACAGAGAAAGAAAGAAAGATTATAGTGAGGATTATAACGTTCTGGTTGAACAGACCTTGCTGCCTAAAGGTCTGCTGCTCCTGGCTTAATAGGATCAAGAATGAAGTGGACTGAGGGAAGAACTTACAAATCACAACAATAAAATCAAAGTCAAATCTGGGATCCATTGAACTAAATCAAAAGTTTGCATTTTAATTTCAAAAGAGAATTTTCGCTCTTACAGAGTGGAAGTGGAACTGGTTTATGCACAGAGTACTTACTGTGCTAGTATACAGTGACTTGGGCTTTTATCAAGATTGCTTATGTTACACTGTGGAAAATATTAAATCTTTTTTTTTTTTTTCTGTATCTCAGATCTCTAGGAGATTGGTATTTCTCTACATCTCAGTCACATTTGGAAGGCAAATATGGGATATATTGAACTGCTGGCCAGGCAGAAACACACACAATTACCCACCAGTTTGTTGAACAGCAGTGTCCACATTTTTATTTCAGTTTCCTCACGTGCAGTGACTACACACTAGGCCATGCAGTGCTCAGTCTGGTCATGACAAAACTGTTCCGGCCATCGGTGAAATTTCCTCTGTTTGGTACCAAAGGGAAGAGAGGCAGTTGTACCAAAGGGGCTACTTGGTTGAAAGGGCGATGGATCAAACCATGACATGTCCAAACATATAGATAGACTCTGCACAAAGTAGTGTAGTAGTCATTATTCCTAATCACAGACAGGCAGAGGAAAAGCATCTCTTGTCAACAACACTTTGAAATATTACCAGCAAACCAGATGGGAAAAGCCAAGTCACATATAGCTGAAGAGATATTTGGATCCAGCATGCACATAAGACTGAGACAGTAAAACTGCTATTGAGCTCAGGCTTATGGTTAAGTGAGGAAGTAGAAGGATGAGGCCACTTTGATCTTTTATAGTGATATCTGTATGGAATATGAAAGATTTTTCTCTCTATCTTGTGTTAAATTTCTGACTCTTGTTGCCTTTCAAATATGTGAAAGATTTTACCCTGTATGTCTTCTTCAGGAAAAAGAAAAGGAGCAAAATACTGCTTGGCAAGAGTTCTTCCTGGTATTTCTTTCATTTATTTCTTTTGTGCTTTTTGTCTTCAGTATTCTTTAAAAATACAATTCCTATTTCTGTCACAGCATCACCTTTCAGCTTGTCTTGGAGGAAGGTAACTTCTGCTGATAAGTGAACCTAGAAGAAATTAGGACYAATCAGTTGAGCAGAAGAATGTTCAGTTTTCTTCCCTTTCTCAAGAGCAAATTATTTTTTTCTACCTGTCTCCCACCACAAGAGGACTCTCTTTCACAACTTTCATAAGAAAGAGTTTTGTACTATTTTTCATGTCTTTTCAAAACAAAATAACAAAAAGGAAGTTTATGTGCACGGTAAAAATTGCACAGTATGTTAATCTTCAGTGCACTCTTTTGCTTTGTTCTGGGAACATAAATCTTGATTGTGTAATCACAAAATTTCCCATGGTCATATACTGTTCCTTATCAAAAYATTTCTTAATTAGTCTTATATAAGCTGCTACAATTTTTCAGTTAGTTCACTTAAGTAATATCTATACATTTTGAWTTTTTCTGAAACATAGAAAATGTGACAAAATAGATTTTCCCCGGGAGGAAACATAATAAAGTAACAAATGCAATGTTTCAGAAAATGACACACAGGGTCTGCAACTCAGTCACTTCTAAAGGATGAACTCCATRTATTCTTTTCTACAAGCCTTCCATTTAAGCACAGAGCAAATAAACTTCGGATGCTTTGAGAGATCTCTCTGATTCTATTACTAATACTTAGTACTACTAAGTTTCCTTCCTTTATCTGGACATGGGAATTTACCTTCCTGTGCTTCTGGGTGTGCATTAACAAAGAGAGGAGAAAGCAGCCGTTCATTTCCTTACCATCTCCAAGGCACCTCGAATCACCCCACAGAGGAGGTTGCAATAACAAAGCGAGGCTCGCTCCGCGGGAAGCTCCTCCACAAAGTCCACTAGCGGGTTCTTGTCCAGGATTAGGGAGAACTCATTGCCCGCGGCACTGCTGCAGCTCACGCTAGGGGTGACCCCAAGATACATCTTGAAGGCAACCTGCAAAGAGGAGCAAACTCTGCCACGTGAGCCTGCCATGTGCTTTYGGTAGAGTCACACTCCCCTGCGACCATTAGCATCCGTATCAGGCCCATTATTATATTGCTGGAGATTTGGGTCACATCTCCAGAAGTTCTGCACCTGATGAACATGTGCTTTTATCTGTAGCTGCAGTCAAAAAAAATCCAGCATTGCTGATCGGCAAACTAATTTGCTATTCTGTGTTTCTTGCTCTACTGATTACTTTCACTGTAAATCTGCAACATCTGCTGTGCAGAGGGTSCCTTGGGAGTTTGTTTATGCAAACCATGACATCACTGCTCTTTCTGGACGGCACTAACCCAGGCAGGCGGCAGCAGATCATTTCTCATCTGAAAGGCTCTCCTTTACCCGCCACTGCAGACTGCTGCAACACAGACAAAAGCATCTTGACTTTTAACTTCTTTGGGGAGCATCGGACATGGATACTTTCCAAACAATCCTGAAATTCTTAGTGAAGCAGAAAACTGCAATTGGTTACAGTTTTATGGCGCTGCTGACCCTGGGAGGTGAGCGCATATTTTCTCTTGTTGCTTTCAGATGTCCCTGCAGTAATGAAAACTTCAGGTATGGTTTGGTATTTCTCTTCGCTCCCGCTTTTGTTTTGCTARTTTTTGGATATTTCCTAAATAGTAAGACATGGAAACTCTTTACGGGCTGCTGGGTGAATCCCAGAAAAATATTCCCAAAAGACAATGTTTGCTATTTCTTTTATGTCTTTGGACATATCACTTTAAATGCTCTGGTAGCCCCAGTAATGTGGCTCTCTGTGGCTTTGCTCAACGGGACTTTCTACGAATGTGCCATGAGTGGCTTAAAAAATCCTGCCTACTTACATGCAGTTTGTCACAACAAATCTGCTAAGTGCTTTGAAGAGCTCCACAAGGTTTCCTGTGGCAAAAGCACCATGTCCTTTCCAGAGAGTGAGGAACTCAAACTAACTCTGCAAGCACAGTCTCAGGTAAGAAAAACAACTAAAGATCATCATATACTTTGAACTACTGCTTTTTCAGGTCTGTGAAAGATTCTAATGTCAGATGCTGAAGTAGCATCACTGCTTTCACTTGAAGTTTTTGGCATGATGCAGCTTTGCAAAATACAGTCCTTAAATCTTTTAGYGCCGTCTGAGCTGTGACATAGCCCTGGGGAGCACAAGTGAAGTCAGGATCATTACAACTAAACTTCCTTCCCTAATGAATGGAAACAAATCTTCCAGTTTGAAGAGGCTGAACTGAGAATTGACATCTTTTTAAAGGGGTCTGTCCTATTAAAAAAAAAATCTGTCTGTATCAAAACAATTATTTTTTTTTTGTAAACTGGAATGAATTCTTATGTCACATTGGGAAAATGAGAGAAAATGGGAATTGTATCATACTGCTTATATAACTTGTTTAAGTTTGCATTGCTCTCATCCCATCTCATGAACTTGCACATTTCAGTACTTTGTTAAATATTTTCCTCTTGCCAGAAGAAAAGAACTGCCAAGCTAAAACAATCCAAGTATACAAAGCTGAGACCATATTACCCTTTCACATGTTGCTGTGCTACAGTTTTATTCAGTGCCTTGTAACTTTCATTTGAAAATTTAGAGACATAAACATCAAAAGAAAGGAAAAAAAAAGGAAAAGAAAATACTATAGAAATGATGGAAATAAGGTAACCAGGAAACAGCAGAAATCAAAAATAATCTTTTGAGCCAGTTAGTTTTGGTCAGGGGATTGCATCCATCTGGAACTGTTTCCAGGCCAGGAAGCAGGTTTTTTTGCAGTTCACATACAAAGAGTACAGTACTTGCAAAGGCTGGAATGCAGATAAATTTAACTGAATGTTTTCAAAGGCAAAAAATAGTTTTAAAGGCTTTAAGTTGCGTGTATAGGAAGTAGCAAAAAGTGAGTCAGTGGATAGCATGGCAATACATAGATCCTTTCTTCAAGCTAAAATAAAGTGGAAAGATTCTAAAAAGGACAGTATGTCACTTATTCATAAATACCAGATAGCACAAAAGTGACTGAAAAAGCAAATTTCTATATGGTTTTCATTTATTTATTTTCTACCACAAAAAAACAATTCATAAAGGTCAAAAAAAGTCAGCAAGAATTGTTTAGAATTCAGCGAATCTCCTGGGAAACAAATTAGAGGAAGCTTTTTAGTTTAAAGCTCTCATTTATATTCTTGTTAGCTAACTAATGTTAAAATTGTTTCTTCCAAAAAAATCTAAAAGCAACACATCTCAAAATGTTCGTGGTTTAAAATATAGATTGACCTGGAAAAAAGGTTASTTACCTTTTTATAATTTTCTGGTTTGTCATGATTCTAAACATTGCTTTTCTGTCCTAATTCTTGATGGTTAATATTATTTAACAGTTTCAAAAAAACYGAAACCTTTTTTCATCCGGTAATTTTATCAGCTTATTCCCCTACCTACACACTTTTCCGTCTCTGTAACAATTAAGTGAGGAATTCAAACACACTGTAGACAGATCATCATATTTTTGCTAGAAACTCTCATCAATTTCCCCTCCAAATTACTGAGACACTGCTCCTCCTCTCAGGTGTACTTTAGTCAAACATTATATCTTTGAGTGGATTATTTAACCTTTTTATGATTTTTTGTTGCAAGAAATTATAAACAAATTGTGAATTTGAGATGATCTGTTCAGTTCCTTCATCTGCATTTGACTTTGCACTGGTCAAGCCTCCAAGATTCTCTTTACTATAAAACAGCATCATTTAAAACTGAGGTTGTCTATATACCTTTGTGCACACACAGATTTAATGCCAAGTTTTCCTGAGAGTTTTACATTCTACTGTTAAAAACCACTGGCTTTCCCTTTCCTTGGAAAAAGGTATCAAATGATCAATATTGAGAAGCCCTGGTCCTGACTTCATCTGTTTCCCCTTTGGGCAATTTGTGAAAGCCTCATTAATATGTATGCATTAAATTCGATTCATCTTCAGAGCAATCACTGTGTTGGACAGTCTTGACTTAAGTGGCGTTGTCACTGGGGCCTGTCTCTTGTTTTTCCCAGATTTTAGGCTGGTGTGTGATAGYTATCACCGCTTTCCTGTCCCTGCTGACCACGTGCTGTGCCAGCTGCCAGTCGAAAGTCAGCCACCTCCAGCTGAAGTTCTGGAGGACGTACGTCGAGAAAGAGAAGGAGCAACTGGAGCAGATTTTCCAGCTCTACGCCACCAAGCTGAGTGAGAGAAACCTGCAGAGCTTTTTTGAGAACAGGAAACCCGAAGCTGTTCCCCTGCCAGCTTTTCAGGCATGGGAAGACGCATCCCAGCTTTATTCTTTCAACAGCAGTGAACAACATTACAGCACAATTCATAGACTAGTTGAGCAARGCCAGAAGGAAATCAGTAAAGAAAGAGAGACAGAGATGGACTTTGTAGACAGAAGGGAAATACCATAGATCACATTGTTTTTTAGTCTTTTTTATAGTGTCTTCCTAATGTAGTTTATTTCTGGATGCTTTAGTCTCCCCGGTTCACAATGGCCTTTGTTCTTGTTCACTTTCCACTTCAATTCCATGACTGCTCCAGATAGGGGGAATTAATTTTTTTCTCCTTATCAATGAGAACAGTCTCAGTTCTCAGTGTCAGCAAAAGCTCATGCTCTGTGAGCACTGTCTCTGGGCCAAGRACAGATCCAAACAGGATAGCACTGACAGGAAAAAACAAAAAGACTCAACAATGACTTCTCAGAATTGGATTTAGTAATTTCCTATCTAGAATTTCCTATATAGCATGCCTGTCCTATACAAATCAAGAGACTATCATARAGTAATACCATTTAAAAATGCAGGTATATAGTAATAAAAGAGATAGGTGGCTATTTGACAGTCCATGGAATGTAGTGGCTTTGCTTTCAAGTCATTYGTCATGGCATAACATCTATTTGAGGTACTGTTGTAACTCAAGGTAATTGTGTGCTTTCAGTCTCTTCTTGCACCTACAACACCATGGATGGTCACATCCATCAGTCCTGACATGTTTATATGGGACATGGGACAGCTACCTCAACTGACAGTGAGGTGTCATATAATTTCTTGCAGTGGTCAAATCCAAAAGTTTTTTAGGGTATGAAGAACTCAAGATTCCAAAATGGCTTAACATTCCTGCGTTTTTGTTAAAAAACAAACAAACAAGCAAAATACCATAATTAGAGTAGCTGTTCATGTGTTAATGCTGGGTTGCATTAACAAAACTGTATCGCTGATATTTGGCTTCCACAGACTAGTCTTCTAATTCACTTCTCCCACTGTAAATCTGGTAAAAAAGTATAAAGCTCTCATTGGTGGATTTTGGACATTTGATACAACCTTGCAAAACTGCAGAATACTGTTTGTGCTGGGCCTGGAGCCAATGTAAGAGACAGACTGGAAAGAAACTCCACATTTTAAGACAACAAAGAAAATATTTTGCAGCAGTCTGACCATTTTTCTTAATACCTTTGGAAAGTTAGAATGTGTCTCAGCAAGAGGAACCAGCAAGCAAGGCAGGTGAAATTACTGCAGAATCAGAATTTCTGATAAATACATTTTATGCCTGATCTTTATGCTTTACCTCATGTGCTTGGAATTCATGACATAGCCCTCACATGGGGTATCCAGAATCTGCAAACATTTTATTAAGGGGGTAGAAAGTTTCTGCCAAGATTCTTTCCCAAGGATGACTGGGAGGCTTTTGTGCAGCATTTTACTTTCAGTCCCCGTGAGCCTGCAAAGAATCACATTTCTGCACTGCTCAGACAAGACCCTTATCAACAAACTAACGTAATCTCTGCAGCTGTTCTGTTCTCATGGCTCAGACTCACTGTGCTCAGTGAAAGGAAAAAATGGTGTCCATTTGCAGTCCAATTTCTTTTAATAAAATACAACAACTAATTTCATTACCTGCTTCAAATTTTCTCAGTGTGTTTTGAAGAACATGTGATCTCTAGGCAGATTTCACTTTAATGCATTTTATACCAGATGCTTCACTTTGCAGCACTCTAAAAAATACATTATCTTTTTATGTCCACGTTTAGCTGCTGCATCTCGAAGTGCAGAGGAAATGTTGTCAAAATSAAAGTTACAGCATCAGGCATGTGTGACACCAACAAGTCAGACCTGCAGGTGGTCACCTAATCAGGCATTTTCACTCTGCTAAATATTCATGACAGCAAATGGCCGGAGCATTTGGGAAGCTCCACTTACTCCATGGATTATGCAATCTGCTGGAAGGAGGCTGTGCAGAAAAGACCTACATAGCTMCTGCTTTGCAGCCCAGCAACTACACATGCATTTATCTCCAAAGGCTCTTCTCTTGCAACAACTCTCTAAGCTCCAGGATAAATATCCCTTCCCACTTGCCTGCTGCTCTCCTTTTTCCTGACAGATGCCCCAACACCTCGTGCCCGGCCCCATCTCCAGCACCTCATGCCCATCCCCACCTCCCTCCTTGGCAGGGAAAAGGCACCACGACACTGAACAGGATCTTCCTCTCCTCACTGCTAGAGCTGCTCTCCAGCATCTGCTAAACGTTACGTGCTGCAATGACAACTTGGCAGGAGCCTACGTCCTTCACTGATCCCCATTCCCAGGGCCTTGTTATTCTGGCTGGGTTTTCTTTCCCAAATGCTTGTGGTTTAAAACAATTGCCATGCGGCTACAGGAAAACTTTTACAAAAGCAGACAAAAATAAACCCCAGTTTGACTCTATGTTTTCCACTAAAATCAGATTTTGGCAAGTCTGTCTCTGTCCTCCAAGCAGCTATTGCTAAAGCTGTTTCATATCAATGTGGCCCCTGACTGCCACTGTGGCAACCCAAAAAGGGGAAGGATTTATGTCTGACACTACATGAAACAGGGTGAGAAAAATGAAACAAAATAACAGAAGACCAGCAGAATCAATGCTTTCTCTTGGAAAATTTAGGCTTTGCATTAACTCTGATATCCACTAAAACTTATAAATAAACTGAAAACTTCTGCTCAGTTCTGTATTCTGCCCCTCAGTTTACTCTTCTGAGTCAAAACCCAATTTTCTCATTTAAACACTGTACTTCTATCGTATATCCTCTACTCGGTCACATTCCAAGTCTTTGCTACAAGAGCAATAACAAGTTAAGCGGGCTAACTCTCCTTCAGATGCTTTTAAAAAATGAGTTTCAGCTGTGTGTTCCATCACAGCTCCTTCCAAATTCTATTGTTAAAATTTCCAGAGTAAAAAGGAACTTGCATGGAAACTATGCAAAACCAGTGGCTTGTTTGTAGTGCCTTAGAGGATCAAACTAACAGAAAATCAAAAAGCAGTAAAATGAAAATTGGGAAAGAAAATCTTCTGAGGAATAAGTAACTTAAGCAACTGTACAAGTAATTTAATGAATAGGTCAGAATTTTTTTTTTAAGCTACAAACTCTTTTAAAACTGCCACACACAATTTCTCTGAGGGAAAAATAAAGGTCTTTCGGTCTTTCTTTGTGTCTGCAAAACATTTTTTTGTTGCAATGTTTGCAAAACATTTTTGTTCATTTGAGAGGACTCAAATGAGCAAAAAGTTTTGAAAAGTGCATCCATAAATCTGTCTTCTTTTAATATGTATGAAATGAAAGAAAAAGAAAACATTTTAGACACTCTTATAGGCATACCTTCAAAATGACACCCATATGAGGCAAAAAAAAAAGCATTACTATAATTTTTTCAAAAATTATGATTGCAACTCAATGAGATTATTCCTCACAATGTCAAAAAAGAAACCCATGCACAGTTAATAACCAAAAACCTATCATTTTGGCTTTGTTAACCCTTACCCAGCAGACCATCTTTCTTGAGTAGCAAGATGTTTCAGTGGTGCTCAAATACAGTCTAGCACTATTGAAAGAGTTAAGAAGGCACTAACCTAATCAGTCCCTGTATATACTACCATGGATCTTTCCTTTGCTTTCTATAGGACAGTAAGATCCCAGCTACATTTACAGATGTTCAGTTTTAACTGCCTTAACTACTTAAATGTTTTATTTAATCAATCTTTTAATTGTTTTTACTCTACACATTCACTCTTTAACAGATTTGTACCTACGAAGAGCTAAGCCTACTAGTAAGCAGTTTTACAGTTTTCATCTAAAAAGTGTGTAATTTCAAACCAACACCTTCAACAGCATATTTGCAGTCATATTTGCAGCATATTTGCAGTCATTTTATGTATGCCTTTTTTAGTATCTGTCTCTGAAAAATACCCTTAGAGACTACATCAAAATTATTTTGTCAAAGAATTTTATAAATGTTTTGCATATCATATTTTGTCCCAAGAAGGTTATACTCCTACTACAGATTTCCTCTTAGTCTGCTAAATATAGTCTGTTCAAGGGACTGTGTGCTTTAAAGATCGCTCCAATCTTTGTAAGTAATATTACTTCTCTCAACAAGTCTCCTTTTAAAGTATAAGGAAAGCAGTGCCTTTTTCCTTGCTTCCATGGTTAATTTCTCCATGTATTTTGTTGTTGAATCTTCTGTACTGAAGAATGACTGCTGTACTACATCACTGAAAAGAAAGAAAATTGTGAAGAGGCAGATCAAGACCCAGTAAAACAGATATAGGGTTATATATACAAAAATCCAGAGAAAAATAAGAGCACCCTAAAAACATTTTTAAATTAGGTGATCTATTTTAACACAGTGACTAAGACACTGCTTATCATATGTTTTCCATTCAGCTTCTTTTGGAATCATGAATGCATCTTCTGCTTTGCCGCAGCTTCCTTAGGAGCCTTGTTACACATCATCCTGATCCTGCTATATGTCACTCAAATCCAGAGGCTGTTTTGAGGTGCTTTAATTAGAAATAATTTAGTTTTCATTCTTTCATGAGCCAATGGGTTCTGATTGACATTTGGGTAATGTCACCTGCTCTGCCTTGAAACTTGGGCACACTCTGGTATATGAATGTGCTTTGCACTTGTGCATGTGCCATGATGTGCTTTACAGCCTTATCAACAACAGCAGATGAAATGGTGTCTTTTTTTTTTTTTCTATGACAGCCATCAGTTCCTCTATGAGAAGTATTTTAAATGAAAATATAACTTCTGTTCTTCTATTTCAGTCAGATGTAACTTAGGAATTTCTGAGAGAGTCACACCTCACCTGGTAACATCTGTGTGCACTCTGTACCAGGACACTACAGTGCTTTCAACATATACTGCTACCTTATGACACTAAGCTCTTTCTCTGTTCTGTAGTTAAAGGTTAAGCATTAATGTTCAAACTTAGCTGCTGCTGGTAGTTCTAGCAGTTCTAAGTGATCAAAAGCACTTAGATCCCTTAGGTAGTTCTAAGTGATTCAAAGCATGCCAGGCATACATTTGTCTCCCCAAATGAGCAAATGGATTTCCATGATTTTCTGTTCAATTAATTAAAGCAGAAATAATGCTCAGGTCTCCCCTTAAAGCAAGTGACTGCCCTAGCAGGCAGCTCTTTCCCCTAAAGTACAGGTAATTTTTGTYGTCAGGAAAGGCCAGACATAGCTGACACTTACAGATGAAGATCATTAAGGACAAAAAGGTTCATTTACAGTAATCTGACTGGGTATCTGAAAATCTGAGCTCACTGAATAGTTCTGAAGTACCGTCTCTTTTACAGTGGAACAGTAGTCTGAGGGGATTGGACATCCTGAGAACTTCTGTAGCAGTCTTCCGGTTGTCTGATTTGTCCTAGGGGCAAAAATATATCTTCTAAAGCCTTTATACTGCCACTGAGCTCCCTCCCAAATCTTTATTGGCTCACAATCATGTAAAACACTGTTCAGTAAAAAGGAATTTTCCATCAAAGGCAGGGGAGAAATACCCATATTGATTTTATCATCTTGGTTTGTGAGTAGTGAGGATAACTTTGCTCTCACTTTCTTTTCTTACAATTACTCTCTTCTTCCATGGAGACTTGCTTTTGCATAAAATCCTGCAGCTTCTTCCTAATATTATCTTTTTTAAAGTTAAATGCTGAAGAGAGTTCAGACGGCAGGAATAAATTGTCAAAACATACAACTGTAAGTCTGTTAAAAGTGGGTAATTTTTTTGTTATTTGCCACATCCTCTGGTGGGAGTGGAAGAAAAAAACTTGTCTGCAGTAAACCAAAAGAAACTTTCTTATTCTTCTAAAGCATCTAATAGTCTACTAGGAAAGAGTGTTAAATCTTCTTGAAAGTAGAAGTTTAAGAGCATGTCAGCATCTGATATTAAGATCAGGTTAGGTCAGGGTTTAGTAGCCTATATCTCACTTAGAATTTTTTGTCCTCCGCTCTTATGTAAAACTAATGCCCATGTGAACAAAGTCTGTGGTTCTGATGACCCTTTGTGACAAACTTACCTTTGTGGGCTTAGCAAGACCACATGCAAAATGCATAATTAAGCATAAGCATCACATTTCCTGTGCCCTGTTGAATGCTTTCCTTTCCAACCTGGTATTTACCCATTATGCCATGGAAACAGAACTAGAGGTCTTCTCTCTACAGCCATACCTCTATGTGCTACTAAGTGATGTAAAGTTAGAGACAAGAAAAAAAGAAGGCCATATTTAACACAGTGGAAGCACATGTGTTTGATTGTGGAGAACAGTCATTTCTGAGAGACAACAGCAGATGCACATAAAGCAGTATATGAATACAGCTGTACTACATAGAGCAGTATATACATCAGAAGATGTACATACATTTTTGAAGAAAAACGATGAAAGAAAGAAGGAAAARCTGAGACCACTGAAGGTGACCAATCTCCTGAGAATATAAATCTCACTTACCTGTGCAATCATGTCTGCAGTTTCAGAATAACTGCGACATTTCTTCACAGCTGAACGAGCTAAAAAATCTTCAATCAGCCTTATGCCAATGCCATACCCCCTAAAGGAAAAATAAAGGAAGATAACAACAGCCAAAAAGGGGTATTTTGTCCCTTGCAGTTTCTCAGCAAAACAGATGCATGTTCCTGAATAAATGACTTTGAAGATACTAGATTTTGTTGGACTTGATTCTTATTTCTACATTTTGTGGTATAAGGGGTCTGTTCTTTATGTAGTCATATAAGAAATTGTAATCCTTTAAATTCTTCCTACTTAACAAACATTACATGAATGTTGAATATATATACTGTACACACACATATCTATACAGAGATATATAAATATATGTATATAATTGCTTCTTCAAGTCACAGCATTCATCCCTGGTGTTGTCATGGACTTTATACAACACTTGGCATCCTCATCGCAGAGTYCCAGTATCAGGCAAACCAATAGGAAATGGACTCACAGCTGGTTCTTTTCCTTTTATCCTTTTTTTTTTCTCCCTTCAAATTTCCTACTTTTCCTTCTTTCTCTCTAATTTGCTCTCTCCCTTCACCTACTAACTTTGGAAAGAATCCAAAGGTTGCCAGTTAAGGTATAGATTGCATTTTGCATTTAAAATAATATAATTCCTGAGAAAAGAAAGGGTAATAAAAAAGATAAAAAATAATGTTTTTTTCATAAAACAAATATTCATTGCTTGTTCTCATATATCAACATAGGTCAGTACATACACAGTGTATAGAATAGAAATACAATAGAAAGTAAGCATTTTTTTGAAAAGGGAAAAGTTAATGAGATTGACAAAAACATGATGAAAGAATTCAAAATAATACAGAAATGCTTTTGTGGAATTGCTCATTTCCATTTAAGTGGATATTCTTAACATCTTACGTCCTTTGTAAAGCAGGCTGTAGTCAATGGAAAGTTCCTCACTGATTTTATTTTGTGTCTGAGGACAAGAAGTCAAAAAGTGATCTGATGTCTAATGCAATGACAAGACAAAAAGTGTTCCTGGCAGAGTGAGGTTCAAAATAACAATATGTAATCCACCAGAAAATTATGAAATATTTATTTATTATCTAAGTATCAATATCAATAATGTTGGTAAATGTCGTCAACTGTTAGCAAAGTGTGTATTATTGATGTACAAGAAAGTATTTAGATGCTTTTTAAATTTTATGCCTCATATCTGGAAAGTCAAATGAATATTTGGTTGACAAGTAGCTATAACAGCTATAATAATGACAATATAAGACATGAAATATATCTCCAAACCTCCTCAATCTACCTTTTCCTAATTTCTGCAATAATAAACCCAAAATAATCCAAAATAACCTTATATTTTTAAAATGTACCATTTTCATCATAGCTGAATGAAGGATTAATATCAAATAACTACTGAAGGAATGTTGCCAACTTTCAGTTTGTGATAATATGACTTTTTCTCCAGATCAGTGTTTTTTTTCTCTCTTCCATCAGTAGATATTGGACTGTAGCTTACCAAGCTTTAGCAAGGAAGTCTGATTGTGAAGTGTCTACTCTGTTTAGTGTGAACAAAGGATTAACAAGAAAGAAGTGACAGCTATCAGATTATTCCCTCCACACCTCTTAGCAGAACTGAAAAATTAATCATTGATATTTTTTATTTTATTCATAAATAAATGTTACTCCATTCTGCCAAATGTTACTGGTAGAATTTTGAATCTCATTCTCATACTTTCTACTGTTCTAAATAAAGCTCTGGAACTCAAAAAAAGATAACAGACATAAAGCTCATAGGAAATATGTAGTTGGACAAACAGTTATGTAGGTGAACATAAATATTTTAATGATGAGTAAATTTACTACTTACATTCTATCTAAACAAGTGTTGACATCTTCATCTTTTTCATAGTCCTTACACAGCTGGGCTACCAAAGCACCATACGTGAGGACAAAAAGTTCTCTGCTCTGCCAGAAAAAAGTGAAAGGTGAAAATGAAACAAACTGTGATCAAAATTGTATCACACTTCTAAGGCTGCTACTGTATTAAAAACAAGTAAAAACACACATATTATTAATAAGAAATTTTTGTCCTTGGATTATAACCAGTGAAATCGTCACTTTGAATTTGACAGAATCTACTTCATTATCATCCGAGTCTCTGTGCAGAGATTTTGCTTTCATGAAATATCATTTGCTGGGATACTACTATTTTAATCGTGCAAATTATTAAGTCTTATAACAAGACATACATATGCTGCATTGATAAATACCTTTCAAAATTAATGGTAAGCACTTAACTGTTGGAAGAATAACTGAGTCAATGAGCCAGTACTCTTTTTATAAGTTGAAAAGCAATCTGTACAGAGAAACTCCTGTTGCTTCAAAAAGATACATTTGATTTGATTCAATCATTAGCTCTTTACCCCTCCCAGAATACAAAGTACACACACATACACACAAAACATACTAACATTCAGCACAAGTGTGAATGATACACAACACAACAAGGAAAGCAGGAAAGAATTGATCCCATTAACATTTCTATTTCTTTAGAAATCTTTACAAATAACATGGGACACTATCTCTCCAAATACCTGGACAGGCTCATGTTGACATCTCGACTATATTTAAGTAAGCAAAAGTAGGTCCTATTGCTAGTGTACCCTGCTTTTAAAATGCCATTTACTACCACAGCAGGTAAATGCTTACACATCTTCACATGAGTTGGCTAATTGTGGAAATACCGATTTCTCTTTGAAGATTAATCTACATTAGGAAATGTGGCTAAAATTAGCTAACATCATAGTTAAGATAGCTTCAACCCATCCACAGAGTAGCCTCATTTTTTTTAACTTTCATTTAACAAATGAGTTCACATTTGTCAGTGCAGGCTCAGGCATCCTTCGCTGACTCATATTTAGAGCCATCATCTGCTTGAGGAGCGTCTCCACAGACAGGTACAGCTAGTGAGGCAGGTTCGCTGTGAACATAACCTAAGTAATTAAACAGGTAGTGTCACCAAAATCATCCAGTTTGCTTCCAATGTGCTGGTGGAGTTGCTAACAGTTGACACTAACCAGAAAGTATTTATGTCAACTGCTCCATCACCAGATTGTTGAGGGCGAGAGTGCCAGGGAGCTAGAGGAGAAGTTGTCCCCTCCTGCTTGGTGGTGATGGGCACTGGCCCACATAGAAGCAATTATCTTGACTGATGTGACTGAGAAGATCTGAAGAAAGTAGGAACCTGCCCAGGCCTATGTATGTGTTTAGGATCTTGTATAGTATAATAAACACAGTGCTTTAAGGTGCCTATTGGAAGAACAAGATGATTTTCCAAGAAGGAATGATGTATGAATGATGCATGTATATATGTGGATATTTACTTCTGAAACTCTTAGCTACAAAACTATAAAATAGAGAATTGGTTTGTACCATGTGATGTGCAGAGGGGAAGGATGAAATAGTAGGTAAATGCCAGTCCTACAATATAAAAAGGAGTACAGAGGAAAAATGACATAGGTTCATAAAATTCTTTGTTTATCTGTCAATGAGTAGTCAAAAGAAGGAAAAACAATGTCACGCTATGAAATGCAAATACAATTTAATGAGAAATGTAAATCATACTGCCATGAATCAGTTTCATGGCTCTTCTCAATGCAACACTGGTCTGTGATCTGGATTCCTTATTGATGCCACCACAAAATGGTCACAAACAGCAGATTTTGAATTGTAACTGAAACCAGAATGAATATTGTGGTTTTGTCTTACTTTGGCTCTAGGTTTTCCAGGGCCACATCGCATCTCCATTATCCACACCCAAAAACAGACTCTTAAAATGAAAGCTAATATTAAATTGAATTAATCTCATACATGGTCTGATTAACCAGACAAGATGGCTAAAGCTCGTTATGAGCTTTAAAGGTGGCTAAAGCTCAAGTGCTTTTTTAACCATTCTTAAGAGATACTGTCTGAGGTGGCTAACGTAGCAGTSGTGGCTGATATGGCTGCCTGACATGGGTGAGGTTGGGTAAGGATCAGAGCTGGGTGCCAAGGAGAGGAGTTGCATGATGTCCTGCAGCACTAAGGGCAATGGAAGACATCAAAGTCTCTGCACAAATTCTGTCTCAAGCACTAGGTTGGGATYCTTAGCTGTTCACCAAGTTGGAGTAAAGTTTTCTTCTCTTCTGCTTGAACATAGGAACCTGCTTTATCAGCTCCACAGTGCTGCAGAATGGACTGTATTTGGTAGGAACAGCACCTGGCCTTTAAGGAGGGGGTACTTTTGCTCTCAATATTTTTTTTTTTTTTTGGACACAAATTCAAGAAAATGCTATGGCCTCTGGCAGGTGGGTAGACTGGAGGTGCTTTTGAGTTTATAACCTAGAAAAAAAAAAAAACGCCAATGACAGCAGTATAAAAAATCTTGGGGGGAAGGAAAGAAAGACTTCCTCCTGCTTCCATTGCATCTAGAGTTTGGAGTTTAAAAAATGCTCCCTTTTTCAACAGGACCTGGTTAAAAAAGTTAAATAGTTTAAGATTGTTTCCTAAATTAGCCTTGGTAATARCTTCTATTTACAATACTGCACACTTGGCCAATTTTTAGGTAACAAGATTTTGATGCAGTAAATGGATTTCACGCAGGTTCTGTGTTGTCCTAGTCTCAAGAAAATATGATTCTGTAATAAGACAAATGCCTTAGAGAAACCTAACCATACTATAACAACACAATTAGATTTATCAGCCACACTAGCAATTCAATTAAAAAATCAATTTATAAGACAAAATCTCTTTTTTCCCCATGAGCTCATGCAGATTGCCATAAATTATATTATAGTTCTTTTTTCTTTTTTGAGTGCACACCTTTGTCCTCCATCCCATGTTCCCGTTCCAGGTATTGGCATAATCTTAATTGACTTAAAGCCTGCTGGAAATTCTCCACTACTCCAGTTGCTATTAAAATCCCATTAACCATCCAGAGAGCTCTCAGGCTTTCAATAAAGGCTGTAGGTTCCTGAAGACCTGGGTGGGACTGAGCCATCCACATAAAAGAGTTTTCTCTTTCTCTCTGTTCCTTTGTCTTTTAGGGACTGAGTAACCACAGACTSACATAAACTTTCCTGGTATTTTTATCTTTGACCCTGAAGCTCTCCAATGCACTTAGACTTCTGCTTCTGAGCATACCTCAGTCTTAGAAATTTTGTGTCTGTGTTTTAATAATTGAGTGTGCCAGAAAAAACATTGTGACTTTTTTTCCTTGTTGTTCTTCAACATTATGTATGTTCTGTTCCATACTAGTATTTTCCTCACACTTTAGTTTATACGTATGTGTCCTAATTACACTTTTACACTTAAACATTTTTAGATGGAACTATTTTTCCACAAGGGGACAGTACTATTGCTTTTTTTTTTTGTTTTGTTTTGAAACCAGTATCACCTTATTTCTGTATTGTGTCACTTTGGCTCTTTGGACTGACAGTAAAATAATCGTAGACAGTCAATAATTTTCATTCTTTGACAGAGATTCTGAGGAAACTTAGTATTGTAACTTCAGTGAACCCCAAGTTCTCCATGGGAATGAAAACTTTTCACTACATCATTTCTTTAGCACATAGATTTTCTACATGATTGCCTGATCTACAGCAGAAACAAATGTATATCTCCTTATGAAACAACAGCAGTAATGAATTTGTCAGCTCTTTAGAAGAGTGAACTGAGGACAAACTGTAAATTTAATCTGAGGTGTGGCCATGCAATGAGTTCCTGCAGAGACAGAGCAACGAGGTCCAAATGTCATCACTGGCCTCTGCATGGGCACAAACACTGACCTATAGAGAGCTCACACTGTCTCRTGCAAAATTGTATGTGTGTATAATTTAGTAATTTTACTTGTTTGTGTCATTAAGGGAGATAACACACTSTGTGGTGAACTGAAGTTCCTGGGGGGAAAAAAAAACACGCAGCAACATGGAATTTCAGAGAGTGTKTTTCCTGTCAGAACTGAAAACTGTTGACACAAAAGTGTCTGGCTGATGTAGAAATCCTGGTTTAGAGAACCTACATTCCTGGTTGACCCTTGGAAAACACCATGKATGGGTGGGAGCTTGAGCAGAAAAATGCCTGGCAGAGCATCCAGGGGCAGGCACTCAATACCAGGTGGGAAACAAAGTGCACCTCCTCCTCCTCCTGTTCCCAGTGATGAGCTCAGCACATCCTATGCATCCCATCCAGGAAGCTGCACTTTCTGCCTCTGCTCCTGTTACTTTGGCACTTGAGACTGCCATTGCCCTCTGCAACAGCTGCCCACATCACTTGTCAGTCATCCTTGTGCTGCTTTCTGGCCTAGACCATCACAAATATATACTTGAAGATGAATCTCTYCCTGAACTGACTCTTAGGTGATGAATTTAATCCCCTGACTTGCAATTCACTGAAACAAACTCTGAAGCACAAAGGAGCACATTGAAATGAGGTAACCCACTTCATGCTTCAAAACAAAATAAATCACCCACTTTTCTGGAAAAAAAAAAGTTTCAAGATTACAATGTTCCATGTTCCCAGAAAAAAAGGTTGAAGACCAAATGTTCTTTAAATAGGATTTTACTATCTGACTTTGTCATAYGTTAGATACCACATCTAGAGAACAATAAGAATCAGTAACCTTAATGGTACAAAATAAACTTTTTATGACCATGCAGTTTAAGAAGTCCTCTTGGGAGAATCTTGCATACAGTATATTTAAAACAACTACTAGAATTTCAGAAGAATATTAACAGAAAGTGAAGAAAAAGAAGGAARTTTTGGTCCACATAACTTCTACTTGATATAATTCTGTGCTATGACCTCAATGGTCAAAATCATCATTCCAAGAAAATAGTTAAAGTTTACCACTGTTTCCCCAAACACAGATTTTAGCCTTAAAAGCCAGGTGTTACAATCCTGTGAAAATGCATATTAGGAGGATGAAGAAGGACTTCTGCTTACACAACACAATCCCCAAAGCAAGATGTGGTCTGCTATCCAGGAGGCACACAGTGAGTGCCAGCTGTGCTGCAGCCCCAGCTGAACTGTCTACACCTGTAACTGTTCATGTGCTASAGATGTGGCTGGTACAGCTTCTCCCAGATCAGGAGCGGAGCTTTGTCTTCAAAATCATTTCATATCACTGTCAAGGTAGCTGGAGAGATAACAGGGTTCCTAGAGCAGATCTTATCATTTATTGCTCAGAATTAAACAGACTTCGGCTCCTATGGACAGTCTTTCTTTATGCCACAGCTTTATTCGCTTTAAACCTGGCAGCTTGTTGATAGCTCATAAGAGCATCTCAATGTACCCATAAATGCTGGCAGACTATTCCCCAGGATTTCTTACTAAAAAGTCTGCTTATAAGCTATTCTTAAATCATAACTGTACAAAACATTATTTCAATAACAAATGATTCTAGCTCCATGCACAATTTTGTTTTCAGATTATTAAAAAGTCTTACTATTTTGTGATTGTCTTGCTTTCTTCCTGTTGGTTTTGACATGTTGCTTGTGCAATGCCTGAAGTACTTGACTGTCCGTTTAGATCTTTCCTTCTTCAAGCAGCATGATCTTCTCTCTGTTACTGTACTTCCTTCTCCCCTTCTCTAAAGTTTTGTCCTCTCTGCTCTTCTGCCTTTGCAGGAGGTGCATTTGCTGCGTTCTGTAATGCTGCTGATGCTCCTCCTATTCTCTGCATGCAGTAAGCCTTTTGGGAGGAATCTGGTTGGCAGCAGATTTGCCTCTGAAAAACAGAAATAACTGCTCTATCCATAAGAACAGATTTTAATCAAATGCACAGCAAGCAGACATGGGAAGTCAAACCATGCAGTCCCAAGAGATTTGCAAGTCTTAGGCTTTAATGGACAGACAACAAATACACTCTATTTTTTGTGGGTTTTTTTTTTTTGTTTTGTTTTGTTTTTGTTTTTGTTTTTGTTTTTTGGAGAGTTAATAAAAGCTCCGTTCTGGGAGTACAAAGCTGGCAGGAAGATCTAGATTACCCAAAGAATAAACTGTGCTCCTGCAAACACTGTCAGCTTTTGCAAATGGTGGTTCCATTACTGATATCTCCAATAGATCTTATCTCATTGCTAATATCCTGCTTGTAAAACTTGCTTCTACCAGCATCCAGGAAAGTTCATATTATTTTTTTCAACTTCTTTTTACATAAATTTGCCCTATTCTGTTAGCTTAGACTTGACACAAATTTAAATCATGTTTACTAGTAAATTTATAAATGAATCAGCTAGTTTTCATTCCCTACAGGACCACCCCACATACATTCCTGTTTCAGACTTCAAATTCTAGCATGTTGCTATAAGGAAATAGAAGCATGTGGCCTCACCTGCATGACATGCACTTGTTAGATTTGAATTAATTATTAGATTTAGTGTTAGGGTAAGCTATATCTTACTTCATACTTACAGAAAAGAGCAGATGTCCGTTATGTGAAATAAGGGGGATTAATTTATTTACAAAAACAAAACAAACAAAAAAACAGTACTTCAAAGTTATGACATGAGACAACAAATAGAATATGAGAAATACAAGGATTTGGGGCTCGCACTGTGCCAAGCAGGCATCCAAAGAGCTTTCATTTTACRTGAAATAATCCAGCATTGAGGACCATATGTGGTAAGCTCTGCYATCTTTTTCTAGGCATGGTAAAATCAGATTCCCTTTTTTAAGAGAAACTATTGCAGGCATATGACATACCTAAATTTAAATAGATTATAAAAGTCAGGTATTAATATTCTCCAGAAAACTACTCAGATTACTAAATCGAGTTTGAAATAGGTTTCTTAGATCATCTACAAATAGCTACAAGCACCAAATATGTCTCTTATTGCAGAAGATATTCTACGCTCTGGAAGAAAATGTACTGCACTATATTTCTAAAAGCAGCTCTGAAAGATTATCATTACTTTAATTTATCCGGAGTGAAACCATCACAAAGTCCTTGAGGCTATCTATAAATGAGCACCATTTTATTTATTCAGTACTGAATATAACGATGTATGATGTTGATCTGCATTATTAATATTACCATCATGAAGGAACATTGTGGACAAGAAGGCAAAATATGTGGTAAGAACAAAATGGCTTTGTTTAGAAAATACATATATGAATATATAAATACATATATGTAAAATCAYATATATAATATGAACTATGTGAATTTGATATTATGTACTATGTCTTTTAAAAATTTGCATATGCTAGAGAAACAGCATGAAATAGCAACAGTAYATCCAAATAAACTGGGAATCAAATGGCTCCACTGAGGGAAACAAGTCAACAGTGGATTGGATCCATTTCTTGGATCAACAAAGGAAATCATCTTCACAATTTTAGCTGTAGCCTGAGTTGCAGTCCCAGAAAAGAGGTAGAGGCTGGTACAGAATTTTCAATCTTTCCGACTTTGATGTATTTTTCTCAGAGTAAATGTAAGGCAATTTGAACTGTGAGGAAGCTCTCATTGCCCTGCTCCTTCCCTTCTGCCATGTCTGTCAGGATCTTAGCCTTCAACCACAGGAACTGTTGGTCTGGTATGCTGAGCATCAGCCTGGAGCAGTTCTTCTCCTTCCCATAGAACTGAAGATAAAGACAAGCAAAATATATTTTAACTATATTATATTATATATAATATATATAATATAACATATAATATATGTAGACTGTAATATTATATATAATGTATTGTATTGTATTGTATTGTATTGTATTGTATTGTATTATATTATATTATATTATATTATATGTATAAATTTATATAATAATATATAAATGTATTATATTATATATTATTTATATATAATATATAATATATAATATATAATATATAATATATAATATATAATATATAATATATAATATATAATATATAATATATAATATATAATATGTATATACTATATATATATTTTTTTTTAACTTAAGTGTGAGGGAAAAAAAGCGCACCAGCAGCATGCTTTTAATGGGAAATTGGCTACTATGGGAATGACCAAACTTGTACAGTTAAGGATATGATCACTTCAGTTTCCCACATTCTAAGGATTCTCACAAATATGAATATTCTAGAGCACACAGGTCACTACTGCACTTAGTGCCAAATACACTGAAAGGTATTTGAACTAAAATAAGAATACAGCATTTGCCGCAAAAAGGCGAGTGTCCAAATCAGTAAAATGCAGGATTGGACTTGTGTTTTTTCTCCGTCTCCAGCCCAATAGATCTTCGGTTAAATATTTTATGTATAGAAAATGAAATTGTTTTGAACTGTAAGAACATAAGTGATAGGGATTTTAAGCTGCTCATGAAGAAAAGCTCCTTGGACATGGGTCTCCCACATCCCAAATGACTGCTTTAAGTCATTAGTGCATAGTGTGGCTGCCTTTTTGGTGATGGTTCAAAATAAAGCTGTGGTATTGCTATCAAGAGAGTATTTTTGGATTAGATGCCTACTTTCTGCTGCAATTCACTGAAAACCTCTAAAGCCTTACATACATTCTTCCTATAAATCACAGCTATATTTTGAAGTAAAAGATCTAAGGAAAAAAAAAATCATTACCAAGTTCCTTTTTTTTTTTCCTTAAAATTAAGTTTGTTGATGACATTCAATGATGACATTCTCATCATTCTCATGTTCATCTTGTTTTAGAGGGTAGGAATTGATCCATTAAGCCAGTCAAGAAGATCAAGAGAATGACTTGACAGCTTGAAGCCAGACTGTGACCAAGCTGAAGGCAGGATACGGGGACTGTTCCCCATGAGCTCCCACAGGAAATCTCTTTTGCAGGTCATTTCAGAACACACACACTGTAACAAGGTGGGCTTGGCATCCACCAAAATAGAACAGAAAATACAGATAGAGGGGGCATGGCACATCAGCCTTCTGAAGGCAAGCTTAGTGATTAAAGCACTTGTGCAGGACATGAGAACACATGATTCAGTCTGCACTAAATTTTACCCAGAGCCATATTTAGATGAAAAGTAGAGAGATATACCTCCCTTCTCCTCTTCCCTTTTCACTAGATACCAAAATCCTAACCATTTTCTGATCCAGTATAAATCAATTTCATCCACTATCCAGTATAAATCAAAGAACTTCTTTCCTGTGAGGGTGACAGAGCCCTGGCACAGGCTGCCCAGGGAGGTTGTGGAGTCTCCTTCTCTGGAGATCTTCCAAACCCGCCTGGATGCCGCCCTGTTCCCTGTGCTCTGGGTGTCCCTGCTGGAGCAGGAAGATTGGACTAGACKATCTCTAGAGGTCCCTTCCAACCTCAACCATCCTGTGATTCTGTGAAAATTCTCCCTATGCAGAGAACTAAGTGCATCTAGTAGAATTAAGGCAGGAAAACTGGAGAATAAAGACTCTCCTCAACAGTCACACCACATCTCTAGTAAAAGCGAGGCAAGAGATGCGTGAGAGAATTTTCACTAGATCAGACAGACAAGCAAATTAACATCCTTCTCCCTTCTGCCATAGATGCCTAAAAAGCAARCAAGCAAASAAAAACTGCATACTTGGGTATGGGAGGAGAGGAAAGAGCAATAAGACTTCCTTGTTTTAAAAGAAGATAACAAACTATTCTTAGGTTCCTGGAGGTGAATACAATTTATGRGAGCCCTGAAACTCTGAGTAAAATGACTAGAGAAAACATGGCTAAAGTTTGACTGATTAGATTATGGTATTTTGGGTTGCATTTATTCCTAACTCTTCCCAGGCATCATACAAAGACACTAGATATATACTTAAAATGCTGTGTTCCTTTGCAAAGGCAAAGATTTAGAAGTATTTAAAAAYCTGATATACCACCCAGTTCTTAACTGGATCCAACCCTGTGAATCATTCCATAATGGGATGAGGCAGCAGGATTATTTACAGAACAGCATGAAAGCAATGCCAAAAAAGTGACAATGCAGCAGTTTAAAGTTGTTGTATTGATTGCATAAATTGCCTCATTCAACAGCCTGAGARCAGCTATCAATATTTCAGTGTTGGACTTCTCTTCAGGTTCACATCTAATGTGCTTCTTGAGCAAACACTGATGTTTGGGAAAGCCTGCTTTCCCTATAAAAAATAAGATGTGGGTGCCCAAAGAGAGCTTAGCTGCAATCAATCGGGCTTTTTAAAGTGAGCTGAGTGATAATGGAAGACTCTTGTAAAACACATCCATAACAGCCAGATACATTTCATCTCCTTAATTAGAAGGAGGTACATTTTGWCAAAATGTAGTGCCACTACATTTCATGGCCCTACTCTGTCCACACAAACAAGAAATTTCAGAAAAGCAGTGGCAAATTGCTACTGCATATTTCAGCACATTTGGACATCACTTCCAGTTTTGCATAATGCTGTCACTTAATTTTGGTAGCCCCTCTCATGGATTGTGACCGAGAAAAAGATAAGCAAGATAAAAGGAAGCTTCCTAAACCAGGCCTGAGAGAAATAGTCTTGCCTAGTAAATAGACAAGGTATGTATAACATGTCATGTATGTGTACAAAAACTGTGACAGTGTCATGCTATCCAAGTGGATAATATGGATGATAAAATTATTTTTTGTTCCCATCGTAAGTTCTTGTAAGCAGTCCTTTTTACATCAGAAGAGGCTGTACAATCAGAGACCACTATGTCAAATAACCAAATATACACATTCTGTACAGATGGCTGAGAAAGCAAAGACAATTTTTATTATAGTCTTTCTGTTATTTTGGGGGTTGCTTTTTGGTTTTGTTTTTAATGTTTTTGGTAAAAAAAAATGATTCTCTTACAGTCATTGAGATTTCTCAAACACTTATAAGTATTCACATATTTAGCAGCATATCTAACTGGGGTGTGTGATTTAAAGAAGTACTGGAGAGCACCGCCTTATACAGTGTGTCTGGAAAAAATCATCTGCAGTGAAATGTCTAAAATTGACATCTGATAAAGGCTGAGAGCCCAGATCATACATTCCAGTTAATCAGAAAACAGTTCTGAAAATGTTTAATTTAGGTATTTCCATTTATCCACAGAATGAGACTGATGATACACAGAAAATCAACAACATGAGTATCATGAGTACGTTTAGAGCTGGATTGACACTATAGAAAGTGAATGGCAGGGTATAAGCTACCCAAATAATCAGAAACAGTACAAAGCAACATTCAACACCACCAGGAAAGCAAATCCATTAGCTTCCTGTCACCAGTAAATCTCTTCTTATTCACCTTGCTTTGTCACCTCATGGCCCCTCAGTTAACTACATCTCAGGTTCCAGCATTTAGCGCACAAATTGCCCGAGAATGAGAACTGACATTAAGTGTGAATAAAATAAGGATTCCAAATCCTATACAGTTTATACAGTCTTACAGTCTTCCAGTCTTCTCCATTTTTATGGTGAGGCATTTTAGAAAAACCCTAGTGATTTTTTAAAATTATCAGTCTGTTTGTCAAAGCTTTTTTCTTTTTTYTTTTTTTTTTTTTTTTAAGGGAGAATAACAGAATAGCTGAAAATGGGGGTACTTTTGATTCGCATTTGTTTTATTTTACAGTCTTTCACCTAGTCCCACAGCCTGATTCTGCTAATCACCCTTGATTAGAAAACAGCTGGCCAATTAACCCTAACAGGGAGCTAACAGTTTAACAGCACTGCATGACCTCCAAAAGGTAGCCAGGTGGTGTTGCTACTTTCAGGCAATTAGCAAGGGGCTGGCAAAACTCTTAATTGCCTAAAAACTAAATGTTACAGACCCACTGAGATAATTTATTGATTAAAACAGATGATTTAGCTGTCTATAAATAGAGCAAAAAATGTTCTAGCTATTATTGAGTAGAGTAGGGAATTATTTATGGGAGAAAGGGTATTAGTGTTAGGAAGATTGTTACTGTTTGTGTGCATGTGTTTGTTTCCAAATTTTTCTCCTATTAATTGATACTAAACTCAAAGTAAAAGCTAGCATTGACTTGAAGCAAAAGCAAGTGGTGAAAAGGAAGATCTAGAATGGCTTACCTTCCAAAGTGGCTAACTTTTCTAAAAGGCAAAGAGGTCATTATTGCTAATGCTATAATTGCAATATTGACAATTGGCGGGCAGCAGCTTTTCTCTTTTTTTACATTCAGCTGCCCCTGCCATGCTGGGCAGAACCTTATCTATGGGCTGGCTTTCCTAGGAGTTCCTGCACTGATCCTTTTGATTGTTGGTTTTGCTCTTAATAACCAGACTTGGAGGCTTGTTACAGGCAAAAGATCCCCTCTTCAGCAAGAGGGGACATGCAATCGCTTACTGCAATGTAAACTCACTTGCTTTGTTTTGTGTAGCATCACTGGGAGAGCACTGGTTGCTCCAGTAACATGGCTAGCAGTTACTCTGATAAATGGCTCATTTTACGTGTGTGCTGTGAGTGAGTATGTCTCTGTGTACTATTTTGGAGGTAATCCTAACACCACTGCTAGTGAACTCAGAAAGATACTGGCTGCGTTTCCTTGCAGTCAGTTAGTTCCTCCAGAGCTGAGTAGGGCAAGAGATGAAGTGATTCTCCTCCTCCGATACCAATCACAAGTGAGTAGCTTGTGTTATTTCTGTTATCAAGCAGTTCCCTGAGAATCTAATAAGAATTACTCCTCTGCTTTCTGTGTATCTTCTGCTTTGAGTGCCAAATCTTTGTGTGTTTTGAAGTGTGGTTTCTGCCATGAAGTGGAACTGGGCTTTAGCAAGTCRTTACATGTAGCTTTTCCCATCTGTTTCCTACTACTGGAGGAAATGCTCTTYCCTGCACAGTGTCTTGAACGACCAGCAAGCCGAACTGGTGTCATTCAAGAACAGGGTGTGCGTGTGTAGCTTCTTGATTCAAKAATAAGACATGTAACTAAGGGCCCTGACTTCAAGGACTTCACACTAGTCAAACCAAGATTTTGCACTGATTCTCATTTTTAAAAGCCTAACCAGTGGGTAAATATTAGGGGCAAGACCAAGTATTTAATTTAAAGAGAAAGGGGTATAAACAGACCGTAATTTAATTTGGGCTAGAAATCAGATGGCTTCTCTGATGCAGACTTTCAGCAATAATTTTGGAAGCAAAATTCTGCACAAATTAATACGATGGGCCTGCTTTAAACTTCAAAGACATATGCCAGCCTCTTTATATAGCMATCAACAGCAGGCAGGAACTGATTCTGATGACAATAGACCCTTATCAGGCTTGTGTCTTGTTAACCTCCTTACTCAAGGAAAAAAAGCAAAGACTTTCACATGGATTTTCTTTAGGCTCAAAAGYTGTCACAGCAGATATTTACAGCTGTATTAAATATCCTGTGATACCAGGAAGTAAAACAAGAATTAATGGTAAAGTGTTGGGTTTATTCATTTATTATGTGTTGCTTTTTTTTCTCTTTGAAGGTGGCTGGCTGGCTTCTGATTGCTGTGGTAGCCATCACTGTTTTCCTGTCTTACTGCCTAGCAAGCTGTTTYTCTCCACTCAGCTTCCTACACTTCAGATACTGGACCAACTATGTCCACAACGAGCAGGATCTCTTTGACGAAGCGATGGACCAGCACTCCAGGCTCTATGCCATGCAGCATGTGAGGAAGTTCTTTGGCTTTGCCCCAGGGCATGAAAATGTCAAGGAAATCCGTATTCCATCCCTCCGAGAGTGGCAAGCCATTTCAGGATTGGCCTTTCTGAAACTGGTGGATGAGGAGCATTATGACTACAGCCTCCTCCATGACTGGGCCCTCAAAGATTCTGTAGATGGAAAATACCTGAAGACTGATGAGACCAGAACTTGATTCCAAGATCTCAGGGTCTCCAATCAACACCCYGCAGAAAGCAGGAATTTCTGTACTTTGATATTGTCCCTGAGCTGCTCTGGAGCTTTTTGATGCTTTATTACACTGATACTTAAAATTCATAAACATGTCTTGATTGTGTTGTACTTCAGTGTGTTTACAGTCTCCTTTCCTGATTACGTCCTACTCCTGTGGGAGGTCATAGTCTTGTATATAAACTGCAGTGGACTGTACCAGAAAGCAGAGGGCTGCAGACTTTTACTTCTGCAAAAAAGAATGTATGTGCCCCTTTTCTGGGAGAGATGGTTATTCCCCAATTTTTTCCCTTCACATTTAAAAATATTTAAAAATTAATAGCAAAATCTTGACTCACATCCTAAATGTGGTGAATAATTGAATGCTATGAGTCTGATGCAGTTTGTATGTACTAGGAACAAACCCCCAACTTTGTCTTAGTGACCCCTGGTGGAAAAGTCTCATTTCTACTGCTTTTGCAACTCCATTGTATCATACAAATTAAACAGCTCAAGCTGTTTAATGAGTTCTGTTTGTGAATACAGCAGTATAGGCAGAAATATTCAGGGGAGCTGCWGCAATATAGTCCAAGTCTGGATATAGTGATGAGAACTCTCAATTTAGTAAGCAGATAGAATTCCCATAGAGATGCACAGGACAAGGTGGGGGAGGCAAAAACATAACACCTGTATGAGCTTCACAGGTGTAAACCTGCATCTAAGTATTTTTCTGGCAGAAAGCAATAACAAGATCATTGTCCTGTTCCTTTATTAAATACTAGAAAAAWTTGACAGACAAATCTTACTCTTTGCAGTAATGTTTGGTTTGCTTGTGAAAGTCTTAGAAGTGAAATTTATTCACAACCACTGTGTCATAAAAATTCTGCAATTAAAAATTAYAAAGTTACTGAAAAGAAGTTTTGACGGAGTGTGGGGGTGAGTTGTTTGTTTTTATATAACTCAGTGTGATCTTATAGCATCACCTTCCCTCCATGCTAATTTTCTGGCACATGCTTTCAACTCTAAGCAGGGGAAGTGTATGAGGGAGCTTAATACTTTTTGTACTGCATAACTGCACATACAGCACACAGTGCAAATCCCTGTTCTACACTCTAGCATGCTATCTGTAGTTAAAAATGACACCAGAGTCTACAGGTGTGGGGGGAAAAATATTTAGCACATGCTACTACAAAAAGCAGAAGTGTATTAAAATGCAGGTCTTGTTGAGTGTATTTGACCTTGCTTAGAGAAGATGTAAGTATGCACTTCTTTCAGACTCAGTATATGCTGAATAGCTGGAATGGTACCTGGTACAACATAAAGCAAGTACTTATGCATCCCCAAGTATGTGTTTTGTCTGWATTCTAAACTTTCCAGTAAGCAGAGCTGTGCCTTCTACGTGAATTCATGGGGATTTTCTGTGTTGGTTAACACAATTTCTAATTTTGCTATAAAATCTTTGTGCCGTTGAAAAAAAGAATAAGACAGAACAATATGCATAATTTGAGAAACAGCAGTTAAGTTGTGTRTCTGAAAGACTTGATTTATAAAACCTATTCTGTCTTTGTGATACATATGAAGAAAAAAATAGCTGCTGTCTTTACTTTGTATGGGATGTTTYCCCACCCACTCCTGCTTTTACAGTTCCACTGCATAACAACACAATATTAGCAGGTAGCGGAAAACCTTCATCTTCCTTTCATTTCCTTAAACAGTGACTTCTAAATAAACTCGCATGTTCTCCAGTTACTTCCCATAATTGTATTTTCCCTGTGTCTGTCTTTCTTTTATAATTGATATATTTTTWAAAAAATCTGAATATAAACTAAGTAGCAGTGCTGGCTTTATCTTGGCAAGCCTGACAAGCAGCCTATCCCCCTGTCAGGGTGCATTTATTTATGCACACTACTAAGTACAGCTATCGCAGTGTAGGCGACTTGGTCCCCGGGCCCCGTCACGGAGCGGTACGAAGGAAAGCGCAGCTTTCCAAGGCTCTAGTGATTCCATTAAAGAACAGCGAGCTCGGCGCCGAGGAGCCCAACGGCACCCACAGCGGCGCCGCCTCAGCCCCGCCGCCATGACGGGAGGCGCCGCGGCCGAGGGCGCATGCGCGGGGGCGCTGCGCGGTGCGCGCGGCCCGTGGCCGTTGGCGGCGGCGCGCGGCCATGACCGACTACAGCGAGGAGCAGCGCAACGAGCTGGAGGCCCTCGAGTCCATCTACCCGGACTCGTTCACGGGTGAGCCCCGCCACGCTCCGCTGCGCCCCGCGGGCTCGGCTCGGCCCGCGGCGGGCAGCGCTGGGCGCCGCGCCTCGGGCAGGGCCCGCGGCCGAGCCGCTTCCCCGGCTGCTCCTGGCGCCCTTCGGCATTTTCCTTTCCGTTTCCTATTTTTTTNTTTTTTTTTCTTCTTTTTTTTTTTTTTTCTTTTTCCCACGGTTGCTCCAGCGAGGACATTTTGCGCCTTCCCTCCGGTTGTCCCCGGCTGCACGTAGTGAGACAGGGCTCCCGGTCTGCACTCGTGTGCTCGGGAATACTCTGTGGAGAAACTCGGCAAAAGTCTTGTCTAAATGGGAATTCCGGGCCTGGCTCGTGTGTCTGCCGGTCTTCTACGCATTGCAAAGCATGGGATGTTTTAGAGCACTTAAAAGATGCAATTTTCTCTGTAAATGCATGGTCGGTGTCCACCTTGCTCCAGCGCAGGCCTCTGGTGAGCAAAGGCRATGTTTCCTTCCCACCTGTAGTACCTCACACTGCAAAAACTTGCACGCGATGGATGTGTTCGCTCTGCAGATACCCAGGATTTGCCCAGATACCATCAAGGCGTATTTGGCATACCATGGCATATCAAGGGATGTTTGCCATGCTAGCAAACCCAAAGTGGTTTACGGTGCTCAACATCCCAGGAATTTTACAGGGAGGAAACAGCCTTTTGCTTTCTGTACCTGCCCAYGTAGTGCTAGGTGTGCACTACGTCCCACCGCCCCATCGTGCAGGCTTTACCCACGGGGTTTCCTGTCGCCCAACAGTCTACMAGGGTTCCTTGGTCTTATGTGGAAGGTTTATGAATTGATCACTGATGGCTAAGGATGCTGAGTCACTGATTTTTTTTTTTCCTAACAGTGTTGTCAGAAAAGCCTACAACTTTCACAATCACTGTGACATCTGAAGCAGGGGAAAATGATGAAAGTAAGTTTATTGTGGTTTAACTTTCGATTTAGAATCACTGTTTTGAAACATATCTGTGTGCTGTTCTCTGAGGTATACCTCCACTTGAAATACCTTGTATTTATTGTATTTATTCCCTATGCTGTCTTGAAGCACTAGACAAGTTTCTTCATTTTGTTTATAGCTGAGGTGCAGTATTTTTCAGATAACAAGGAGTGGGGTTAGAAATCTACCTGAAATGTCAGTCTCTGGTTCATCTGTGTTCTTTCCACATTGATCTATAGTTGTTGCCATAAGCTGTTGATTTTCTTAGAGTTGTGGACGAGTATCTGAAAACTAAAACAACTRTTTAGGGCTATTAAGTTATGCTAGTCAGTGTGTTGTGATTGATTCACTACAGTAGTTTCTTGCAGTGAAGTTTAAAAGCATGGTATTTCCATAGGAAGATACATATAGAAAAGGGAATAGGTGTTGTACTGCAAAAGATGGTGTTTTTCCTCTTATAAAAAGAGAAAAGTAAGCTCAAAATCAGTAAGGGAGAATCTGTGTAATATATAGAAATAAAGATTCTGAACTAGTCTCAGGTAAGGTCTTACCTTTGTGGAAAGTCACATTTATCATCAAGTTGCGGATGTATTTGATGTATCTTTGGCTTACAGACCGGCTGACTGCAGTTCACTCTGTCCCTATAATGTTCTTGTTGGGGGCCATCAGCACTCAGTTTAGAAAACTGAAATACTGAAATACTTCTGGTAGTCTGGTATGTCCAAATATGCTTTAGCTCTTGAGACAGAAGACACGTGTGTTCAGAGTTTTAATCCTTTACACAAGTGAGCTCAGCTGATAGCTGAACTCCTTATGTATCTTCCTGCTGAACCTTATAGTTCACTGTGCTCTTACATGCACTTGTAACTAGAATAGTTTCAGCTGAGAGAGCACTGAATAGTTATGTACCTTACTTCTGCATAAGCCTAAATCTGTAACCAAGAATTAGCTGACTCTCTACTTAAGCCTTTTGTGAGACATGGTTCAGCAGGCATTCCCTGGAAAATAATCAGTTTCATAATATATGTTCATTTTGTAGAAGTGTTGATGCAAATACCTGAACTCTGCTCTGTGGGATTGTGTTCTCTCTTGCTGCTTCTGTTTTCTGATATGCTTGATCTCGAATTCTTTACAGTGCAACCTCAAAAAAACAGTTGCCAACAACCTGTAGTATCTTACAGCCATGTCATTAGGTATCTTCTAGCAATTTCATCAGCTATATGGGGGAGTTGTAGCAGCTGTTTGGGGGAGTTGAAGTATCATGCTTGGGCAAATCAGTAGCACCTAAGAAACAGTTCCTGAATGAAGAACTACAGGTCTCAAGTTCCTCTCTAAGCATTTGATATCTTTGTACCTGTTTATAATAACTATATGGGCTTGTTTTAAGCATCACTCCAGGTAAGTTTGAGAGCTGCTATTCTGAATTACTGTTAAAAGGAAGAAATCCCTTCCTATCACTATCTCTTTCAGTTTTAAGAGAACAAGCCTTACTCTGAACTGATGCCTGCTTTGAGTAAACTGCTGGACAGCCCAAGCTGTAAGTCCTGACCTGAAGGAGGTCTTCTCCTTGGTATTCTGGGCAGGACATGTGAAGAGATGGAATATGATTCTTTTGAGATTGCTTCCCTGTTATCCTAGCATTGGGTGACTTTATGATGAGTGTGTTGTCCTCAGGCAGTTCTCACTACTTGATAATACAGGGTGCTTATCATATTCTGGATGTGAAATCCTGGTTCCTGACATAGTGGCTGATACTCCAACTAGATGTCCATAGTTTAAAGCATTAGTATGCTGGATTTTTTTCTACATCTGTTTGATAGGACTCTGCCTTCTTTCCAGCTTTAAGTGGGATGGAGGATGCRAAGAGATTATGGCTCAAGGATGCACCATGCCACATAGTTTACCAGACTTTCTAAAGTCCTTTCAGAGATGAATAGATAGTAACGTTTACTCTTACAAAAAGTATCTTGATTTCTCACTGCTGTTGCATCATGTTCAAATCAGTTCATGTAGTGTTAACCTTTGTGTAAGATATCTGTTGCTTTAAGATATTATTTAATTCTATATTAAAATCTTTTTTTTTTTATTGTTAGGCTGATAATGCAATAGGAAAAAATAGTTAAAATTATGAAGTTTTCATAAGATTTTTTTTTGTCCCATAGTTGTTCAGACCACTCTTAAATTTACCTATAGAGAAAAATATCCTGACGAAGCTCCGCTTTATGAAATAATTTCCCAGGAGAATCTTGAAGATAATGATGTCACAAACATAATAAAACTACTAGAACAACAGGTAAGGAAAATAAAGTATCTCTGTTCCTACCAATATCATTTAATTGTTCAGAATCCCTTTAGTCCGTTATATTCTGAGATATGTCCTATGGATTTAAAACCTGTTCCTTACTGGAGGGACTCATTTTGATTTTTGCATTTGCTAAGTGACAATCAGATTTCAGACCTGCTTTTGGAGTTGTTACGCTAAATACATTATTATGTCTTCAGGCACCTCTGGAGATCATTTGGTCCAACCTCCACGCTCAGCCAGGGTCARCTAGAGCAAGTTGCCTGGCACCATGTCCAGTTCGGTTTTGAACCTCTCCAAGGTAGAGGATCCATAAACCTCTCAGGGCAGCTTACACCAGTGATAAACCACTCTCATAGTAAATTAGAGTTTTCTAGTGTTTCATTGCCTTTCATCTTGTTACTGGGCACTGCTGTGAAGAGTCTGGTCCCARACCCTCTTCATACCCTTCCTGCAGATGCTTAATACACATTGGTCAAATCTCCCTGAAGTCTTCATTTCTCTAGGCTCCTTACTCGTCTTTGCTGCCCTTCCATGGACTTGATCCAGTAAATCCTTGTCTTTTCTGACTATTGAGGAAACTAGCACAAGACACAGCAGTCCAGAAGTGGCCTCACCCATCTTCCCCTTAGCAGAAGAGTTACCTCTCCCTCAGTTGATAGCAGTGTTATGCCTGGTGCAGTACCATTGGCCTTTTTCTCTTTTTGCCGCAAGAGCACATTGCTGGCTTATGGTCAATGAGTTGTCCACCAGGACCTCAAGGKCCTCCTCTGCAAAGCTGCTCCCCAGCTGGTCAGCTCCTGGTCTGTGCTGGTGSCTGAGGTTATTCTTCTGTAGGCGCAGGACTTTGCAGTCCTCTTTGTTGAACTTCATGGGGTTCCTGTCTGCTCCATCACTGCAACCTAACAAGGTCTTTCTGAATGGCAGTACCACCTTCTGCTATACCAGCCACTCCTTGCAGTTTTGTATCACCAGCCACCTTGCTGAAAATGCATTCAGTCTGATCACACAGGGGATAATGAAGAGGTTAGACCTCTTCAACCCTCTGGTATCAACCAGAGGGGCACCCCACTAGCAACTGGGCGCTAGCTGCACTTCATGCCRCTGATGACAACCATTGAAGCCCAACAATGAAGCCAATTTTGAGTCCATCTTTCTGAGATGATATCTAGCTCATATTCCATCAGCTTCTCTGATGATGTTATGGGAGCCTTACTAAGGTCTSAATAAGCAACATTCACTGCTCTCTCTTCATCCACCAAAATGGTCTTTCCTTCATAGAAGTCAGGTTGATTAAGCATGATTTCCCCATTTTAAATCTAGAATGATTGCTCCCAGTCACCTTCCTGTCTTCCACATATTTGGAAATAGTATCCAGGATTAGTTGCCCCATCGCCATCCCAGAAATCCAGGTAAGGCTGACTGACCTGTAGTTTCTTGTGGCTTCCTCCTTGAAGATAGCAGTGATGTTTGTTTTCTTCCAATTTCCCTTTAGAAGCATACATTAAGGAGATAAACTAGAGATATTTCAGAATGCAGAGATACAGAGATGCAAGGGGAGAGCTCTGGGGCTTGCCTTCTTTTGCAGTTCTAGCTTAACACGAATTAATTCAGCTGTGTTAACAGTGTTTGTGGAAATCTCAACTAGTGACTGCATTATGAAGGAATATGTAGGAAAAACCTGTTTGGATTCAGGAATTCTTTAGAAGTCATCTCTGCCTCAAAATTGGCACATCCTGTTCTACAGATATTTCTGCTTTTCAGTTTACAGTATTTTCTATAACCTTCCTTCCAACAACTGCTTTTTTGCCTCTTTTCCATGGGAAACAGTCCTACTTCAAAGGGACATGTATAGGGGATTAAAAAGTAAACTTTTCAAAAGAAGAGAAGCTCTGAATTTCTGCTCTCTCTAAGAACTATGGTATTCAGTYTTGGAGTTGTGATCCTGCTGTAGACTTTGTTTTATCCGTGGAAAAAGCCTTCTTGAAGTCCAGAAGATGTTGATGTCTGAACACAGAGAGCATTGTTAGTGCTTTGCTGCCCACCCATTTCAGGCTCATTTTGACGTGGATTTGACACAATGGGCTTTTGAAACTGGTGCAGAGTGCCTCACTTGTTTTATTTACATTGGCACAACATCATGCTTTCTAAATACATGCATGCATTCAGTTACTGGAGATTTGAGACTCTGCTTCTGTTTGAGCCTGCTTTCTTTATGTTGCAGGCAGAAGAAAATTTGGGAATGGTAATGATCTTCACTCTAGTCTCAGCAGTACAGGAGAAATTAAATGAAATAGTGGATCAAATAAAAACACGAAGAGAAGAAGAAAAGAAACAGAAAGAACTAGAAGCAGAAGAAGAAGAGAAGGTATGTAAAATACTGCTTGCAACTAAAAAAATCCTACTTCTTGCTGCACAGGTTTGATGCAGGAACAGCTCTCAGCTGTACTGAGAGAGGAAAAACAAGCCCAGAGTTAATATAATTAGAGGCTGAAAACTTGAACGTTCTCTACTGCATTTAAGTGATTTATTTTTTTAAGCTGTCTAGAGCCGTCTCTCCAGAGATTAACTGCATATTCACAGTCACCTCTAGCATCGTTTTGAAAACTTGGGTCAGGGATATCCCAGAAAAAATGGGGTTGCTGTAGTCAATCCGTTGTTTGAAGTGCCAAGAGGGTTTGGGGAGCAGAAGGGCATAGAATATGCACTGTAAGGACTGCTTTTGACCTGAGGAGGCCTCTCTCCCTTGTTGACTGACTGGACAGGGTAGAAGCAGGTCCCACTGCTTGTCTATCCTCTTCAGTCTCAGGACCTGATGTTCCCCCTGCTCGCCACCATGGTTTTCTATCCATGGGGTTGTACTGTAGGAAATAGAACTACTGAGTCTTCATTTTCTTCCTCAAAAATAGCAAAGGATTGGTGGGACTTGAAAGGTTCACATTTCTGAAAATGGCGGAAAAGTGGAATAAAACTCAACCTAACCAAGCCTTCCTTTTCTCTGCCAACAAGACAGAAATATTGAAGTGCTTTAATAGGAAATGTTTCACTTTAGATTGTGCATATGAGCTGCTAAGAAGTGCTGCCCATCTATGGATAACCTGTGTTAGTTATATGTTAGTAACATTAACACTGGAGGTCCAAAAGTAGTAATCAGGACCTCTTAAATAATAGTTTCCACCTAATTTTCGTGATAAAAACAGTTATGAATACATGCTTTTTGTATGCTCTCTTGTGATGAGGAATAATTTGTGAGAGTAATTAGAGCATGCAGTGCTGCTACAGCATTGTGATTTCATGAACAGCATGTTCATCTTGTAGCTTTGTCTATTGATTGTGTTTTTATGGCCTTGATTTGTGTTCTTTTTAGCAACGATTTCATGGCACTCCTGTTACAATTGAGAATTTCCTAAATTGGAAAGCAAAATTTGATGCAGAACTTCTAGAAATAAAAAGGAAAAAAATGAAAGAAGAAGAACAAGCTGGCAAAAATAAATTAAGTGGTAAGACTTAGAACTTTTCCTGAAAATTTTGCACTGCTATTGACTGCAAATGACTTTCACACTTAAAAGATGATAATAGTAAGTAAACTTTAATTGGCTACTGGATTATTGTCTTTGTGTCTCATACTGAAGCCTTTCGTGCTGATATTAGGCTAAGTACAAAGCAGTTACATTCAGGATTTCTGTTGAAATCACTGAAGTTCCCYAAAGCTTCTTCGCTGATTTGTGGCACTGTGCACCACTTTGACCTGCTGCTGCTATTGCCCTGGAAAAAGTATTTGGGAATTGTTAAGCAACAGTAAGTCTCCAGCAGATGTTGGYCTTTATTGCTGTGGCCATATGGCACTAGATCCTATAGTGAATTCAAACTGTTCTAGTGCCTGTTGAAGCTTGGAGTGTTGCTGGACTGAGGTAATACGGGCTCTATGCTCTGTTCTCTCTACTCTGAGAAGAGTAGTCTCTGCTTTCTTCTTTTGGAGAAGCGCAGTCACTGCAGTGGGTTTAGGAATGCTGCGCTCTGCGGATCTGAGTTTGTCCATCAGAAAGTAAACTCTCAAAGCAGTGGGCAAAATCTGGGGAAATTACTCTTGTTCTCAGAACCTGCTTAAAAGAAAAAAAAMCTTAGTCAGTATCCCCTGGACTCTCTGCTGTTTAGCTTTGGCATATGGCTGTCTTTTGACCTTGAATCCTTCTGACCTTGAATCCATGTGATTATGTTCTGTTACTGTTATCTCATCCTTTTTTTCCCCACTAGTTTTTGAAACCTGTGGCCAGTTTTGATCAAATTTGACAGAGAGATAGAAGTCTTAAAGGTAGTAAGTTGTCAGTAGTTTCATTAAAAAGCTGTACAGCATAAAAGACGCACACTGAAGGAAATGCATTCAGGCATCTACAAAGATGGGATAGTAGAAACCAGGCTTCCTCTCGCCTTTACACTCTTGAAATTGTTAACGTGCTGCAGTTTTTTAACAGTCTAGTTTATAGAATGACTCCTTTTTACAAAACTAAAAATGAGCTTAATTTCAGGTGTTTTCTATGCAACCCCAGGAAAAGTAAAAAAATGTCTCACACGTTTTCCTGTGCATACTAACCATTCATGTTGGCAGGAGCTTGCCTTAGTGATACAGATGCTTACTATTACTTTTTTGAAAGATGGATAATTTACTTGGAAAAAGTTGTGAGCATTTCCTCCCCACCTCTCAATTGGGAAAGCTTCACTACATCTTTTGCAATGTTTTCTTGTGAGTTTGTAGGATCCTGTGACATTGTTGCCTTATGTTGATATATTAGTTTTCTCAAAAACATCCTTGCTAATTTTTTTCAATTTGCAATTTCTAGGAAAACAGCTATTTGAAATGGATCACAATCTTGACACATCTGACATCCAGTTCTTGGAGGAAGGTAAATATGTGTTTGAAACACATTTTAAACTCTCCCTTCTTCAAAATATTCAAGAGAAAATGGCTGTACATTGAACTTTTAGCTTACTCAAGGGAGGAACAGACCTCTGTATTTTGGTTGTGTGCGAGCATGTTTCATATAACTTTAATRTGGTTTAATGTGTTAGTTTTAATCCTGTTATTAGTATATTAATTTTAATTCCATTGCTATCAGTGATAAAAGTTCAGTTTGCTGGTTTGCTTTCTAGCATAAATGTAATTGATTGTTGCAATTATTAATTTTGGCAGCTGAAACAACATAATGTCCATTGTCTTTTAGATGGAAATGGTTTTAAAAAAGGCTTTTTCAAAAGCAGAGCAAAAAAACTTTCTCAGTGGCCAGAAGATGTCACTATTGTCATGCACAAATCAGTCGGCAATTGATTGAAAAACCCTGAAGGTTTTCCCTTGCTTAGTTTTCGTATTTTCCGGGACAATGTGAAAGAACATACAAAGCTTTAGCTTATTTTTAAGACTTTCATCCTCAATAGAAATATGAAATCTCTTCTTTTGGAAATATTAGTGCTTATCTTCCATAGTTGTTTGCTTTCACTTTGCTTATGAAGAAAATACTTTATAAAGAATGATTCTATCTGCCTAGTATTCCTTAGCTTGTTCTTGTATGTATTTATGTACATAAATCTTTATATTCAGAGCTTTTAGCAAAAAGTTGCTTTAAGAATATATTAATATTTATTTTTGTATACAAAATTAGTAACATTGAGGTGTGTATGGAAAATCGATTCCTAAGAACAGAACAATACAACCTAAATATATGCAAGAAGTTAAAAAATGAAATTGGAGGTTAAGCAAGATTGGAGAGCCTTAGACTGGGCAGTAGTGAAGAAGGAAGATTGAAAGAGAAAATCCCAGCATACATCTGATATTCTCTTTGGAGCTAGCCAGATGTTCTCGAGTATAGTAGTTAGAGCCTTGAAGAGTTAACAACATTGTTAATGACTGCTTTAATTATTCTTTAATGATTACAGTCTAAATATTACTATTAATTTTTAGACTATGTAACGGTATTTGATATTTAAACAAACTTTAAGTTGTTTAGAAAGCTGGAGAGGGATATGTACACACACACGCACACCACTGTATAAATGGTGCACAACTCTTTTTTTAAAAAAATATGAAAGTTTCTGTGATTGTGACAATTCTGACAACTATTCTGAGTTTGAGCTCTAACCCTGAAAACAGGTAGGAAAAAAGATCTCTGATTCTGGGATCTATGAATGTTAGCTTTCATTTTTCCATGAACTTTGAGGTCCTGTATCACATTTCTTTTTACTGGGTTTTTGGTGTGAGGGAAAAACTTCACTTTAGTTGTAAAAAGACAAAATACAGTWTTTTTTTTTCCATACCCTTTAGACACATAAGAGTCACAGAATCACAGAATGGTTAAGGTTGGAAGAGACCTCTAGAGATCATCTAGCCAAGCCCCTGCTCCAGCAGGGACACCTAAAAGCCAAGTAATTTAACAGATACATGTATTGAAGAATGAATGTAGGACACAGTTGTGGGCTTTTTGTTGTTGTTGTTCAGGTACTTTCTTCTTCTTCTTGTATGGAAAATAAATTATTTTCTTTTCCTTGCAGCTGGAAACAGTGTGGAGGTTGATGAATCTTTATTCCAAGAAATGGATGATTTAGAGTTGGAAGATGAAGAGGATGACCCTGACTACAACCCTGTTAATTTAGATAGTGATTAGACTTTTTTTGAACTGGATATGTCATTGATATGGACATATGTAAGGAAGAGAGACAGGCAGCAAAGCCACAGCATCTGTGGTTGTACCTTGAGTGCATTGGATTTCTTTCTTTTTTTTTTCAAAGGAAAAATATTTTAAATGCAGGAGAATGCTCTTCTGATGACTTTCATCATAAATAAATTGACTTTAATATTTCAAATGAGAAAATCGAGGGATGTCGATCTGTCTGAAAATACATACTTCTTTTTCTTCTTTATTTTTTCTTTCCCACTTCAGTATCTGTCTTTTGAAGAGAAATGACAACAAGCAAGATGGAAAGATATTAGAGCAAGCACTAAACAACTGCACTTGAAGACTGAGCAGCTTTTCTGCTGTCTTCCACTTAGGATGGGAAGTTGGGCTGCCCCAGATACGGGCAGTATCAGTGAATAAAAGGGATCACAACATATGCAGTTAATCTTTTATGTGTGTGTGTAGAATTCTATAATGCTTCTAGAAAAGGTCAGTTTTGAGCCTCAACCTGTCATATTTATAAACAGCTGTAAATAGGCAGCAATAGTCACCTTTGAATAAGGTGACAGGCCTGTTAAGTTAAATGAGATACATTTGCCTACTATTAGAGTTAAAACCCTGGCATGATAAGGGTAATAGTTTCAAAACCACTAATTCAGTTTTGTAAGGGGGTTGAAATCTGAATGGGCAGAAGTTCCCTTTGAAAGTCTGGTTGATTGGGGTAGAAAGAATTTTTTTTTCTGCTTCATTGGAACTTGTGTGTCAACTAATTTTGATGCAAAAAGCACACAAATTTACTTTTGGCTTTAATTAGACTTTGCCAGAGAACAGACTATGTGAACATGCTGTATGATTTGTATTATTGGCCATTTAAAGTGACAATCCAGAATATCATATTAGCTTTCATACGTGTAGGTTTGAATGTAAAGGGAGTTGTTTTAGAAGAGTGCTGTTGGCAGCTTGTGAAAGCCTTTATGTGACATAAAGTGAAGGTGCAAATCAATCTGTGGCTGTTAACCCTTCTGATACCTGTTCTACAGTGTTGCCAGTGGAGCTGGTAGTTTGCTGATAGACTCTTCCCAGCCTTGCCACCTCCAAAAAAAAAACCAAAACCCTGCAAGAAGTGCATTGGTGATTAGACGGGCTGCATTTGGGAACACGGTGATGCACCCCTAGAAGGATGAAAATATGGATGAAGAGTTCAAAAAGCACCTCTCCAAGGTGCCCATCCCTGCAGACCCATCCCTGATAGAAAAGGCTATGTGACTAGTTTCAAAATGCTTTAGTATGATTGCTTTAAGTGCTTAGGATTGAGCCTTTGAAAACAGTTTCACTAAAGCAATAAAGTACTTGCAGGGCAGACAGGTTTATGAACTTTAGCATTTGGAATTCCCTTACTGAAGAAGATGACTTTCATCCCGGAAGTCATTTACTGATTTGTAACATGTTTTTCTGCTCACATAGCTCTGGAAATGGTACACTTAGATTAGATTTAAGAATTAAATAGCCTTTTGTATTAAAGAGGAATAAACATAAATTTCTAATAGATTAAGTAGTCTTAAAGTAACCTGTAAACAGTTTTTTATAAAACCATGACCATGTCCCTTTGTTCTTGACTTCCTCTATTAGATCGTTTTAATTTTGGCTACTAAGAACTTTAGACAAGAATTGAAATTTTAATGATAACGTATGTTTACAGAGCAATAAGGAGAATCTCTGCTCCACCAGAGCTACCTTTGTATGTTTAAAAGCTTGTGAGCTAGTATGAGATGAAACCTTATTTTTCCAAAGATACCTGATTGAAAGTTGGATTGAAAATTTCAGGGTGTCTATATCCAGATTCTTCTATAGTTGCTAACACACTTTAAAATGGTATTCAGGCCTGAATAGTAATTTTAATTTGCAAAGTCTTAGCTCATTTGTGCAAAACAATTTCTAAGGTTGTTTAGCATTGTCAACCATATATGTTTAAATCTGCCTTTTTTTTCATGGAAAAAGTGCATTAGTTCTCTTTAAAGATGTATTGAAAACAAGAATACTGTGAAATTACAAAAAAAAAAATCTGAAAATAATTTGAAACTGTGCCACTTAAAAGAATTCCCTGAATAGGAAAAAAAAATGATCTTTGTCTCACTAAGGGTATTTCTAGATTAGTTGGATTTTCTGTTCTCATGTCAGATTAATATATTGATATTTTTTTCATGCAGAGAGTGCCTAACTTGAAAAGCTAAACCAATGCCAAAGGAATTAAAGTATTAAAATATGGTGGGTGTTTTTTTACTGTTAAGAAATTCTTACATCTGGTATTTCAAAGTAGAGGAAATAGTAAGAGTTGAAGTGACAAAATAGTGTTTAAAAGGTTCATTCTTCTAAGCCTTTAAAACAAGGTTCAGTTGCTTGGTCGGAACTTCTGAATGACCTTATGAGTTTTTGGCTTATTTGGTTTTATTAGGGATTTCCTGCTGTGGAATAAAGGGGAACTTGCCGGAGAGCAGACCTGACTCCATTTACCTGATTTGGTTTGTTGAAGTGAATGGAGAAAGAAACTTATTCTGTTTGGTGGATGAAATTTCAGTGAGATATTTTAAATCTATTTAGACGCTTTGGATTAGACTTGAGAAATAACTTTTATAGAGTTTTAGTAGGTCAGAATCATAGTGCTGACAACCTTGTGTGTTTCCTTTTAAACTTGGGAGCCTCACAAGCTTAAAACGTAACATGTTTTAGGGCGATCTTTACAAGTTGCCTCTCTACGCTATGACCAGAGCTGCTTTAGTCCTGACCATGCTGAGCATTTTGAATTGGTGATGCCTGAGTTCTGTTAGAATCCCAAGGATGGTGCCCACCAGACCAGGGTGCTGCGGGAACGAGATCTCAGAACTCACCAAAGTGCCACAAAATGCATAATTGTGGGTGAAATGCCCCCCCCTTTTTTTTCTCTCTTTTTTTTATGAGTCAGTGCCTCGAGAGTTTTGGCCAAGAGCTGGAAACTTAAAGTACAATTCCTTTGGGATATTCAACTTCAATATTTCTCCTAGGAGACTTTGAACCAGCAGGCTACAATGTGTCCTGTGGATCTCTACTTTAACTTGCTGAAATAAATTCGAAGTTTGGACTGTGTCTGGATCCAAGGTACTGAGATACTAGATATTGAAGGAAAAATCTCTCATATAACTGCCTTAAGCCTTGCATTGCAGAATATGAGGTGCTGAAGTACCTTTTTAATCGGTGTTTTACAACCAGGTTCTGATTAGGAGAGGCAGAAGAGCTGCTTTTCAGGTAGAATTCTGTGAAGTAATTTACATTTACTGCCTTGAACTCAGTGCCACTTTCTGTCCTGAATGCTGGTAAAGTTTTCTGCAGCTGATAGTGTATTTCCTGAGGTCCACATTGTGATGTATGTATGTATGTGTATGCAGTTTTTATTATTTTATTGTGATTGTATTGAGGTTTAATTGAGGCTGTTTACTGCTATAATGGGACTTGCAGATACGGCTTCCCACTGGAAACAGAGCAAAATCAAGGTCCTTTTAATCACTAGTTCTGCTATTTAAAGCAAATTCAGCAAAAGCATACGTTAAGCTTCTGACTTTGAACTAGTTTTACCTTTTCTTTGGCCAATGTAAATATGTACAGAAGAAAAAGTTCCCTGGTACCCTTGGGGAAGTTCAAACTCGCCTGTCTAGGGCCATGGTGATTGCACAGGTTATACAAGTTTGTGTTGCTTTTTATTGTCTTTTTATCAGGGATATGAAGTTCACAGAAGGAAGATGACCTGATTGTTCCACTCACCAACATAAAAGTATTATTCTTACAAGTTATTTATACAAAGTCTCTTTTGTCTTCACAGCAGCAGCTTTTGTTAGAACAGGTCAAGCTCTACATTAATTAATTTTGACCAGGAAAAAGGTAGCTAGCCTGTATCAGAAGGCTGAAACAGCTGGATTGAAAGTGAGAAGAAATAGCTGATCCCAAGCCAGCATGTGAGCTCTAGGGAAATTTTGTATTTTTCGCATAGTTTTATGATAAAAACAAAGTTAGATGCTTTTATCATGCTGAATCAATGGCTTAGAGTTTTTGAATTTAGAAACTGTCCAGCCCTGGTTTGCTTCTGAGCACAATGATTCAATAGCAATTGAAAGAATTCAACCCTGGCATGAAGGTGTAGATCTTGTATTTGGAAGCAGGGCTGAGTGTTGAAGCCTTGCCTTTCCTGGCAGTAACGGCAGTTGGTGTTTGGGGAAAAGAATAAAAAGTTGAGGAAGAAGCATTTTGTTCCAAACAGTCACCTTTCTCCCTGCCCGCCAGACTAGGCTGTGCTGAAAGTGGCGGGTGATTATTGGAGGAATAAAAATGCTGTGATGCGTGCACAGAGAGGGTCTAAAGTTCTACTTTACAAGCGAGTTTCAACAGACGGAGTTGATTTCTTGAAAAAAAAAAAAAAATGCAGGACTTAGACCTCCCTTTGCAAATGGTGTAGAATTCATTACTGTCTGGAATCACGAATATGTCACAGACCAGAGGTGAGGGAGGAATGGAAATGCTTGCAAATGTATTTAGAGTTGTTGATAGAAGAATTCTTGACATGCATCTTTACTCTCGTTTTCTCAGAGGTATCCCACAGAAGAGCTCCCTTGGAGTTGCACCACCACCAAGTTAGGCCAGTGTTGTGAGTCAATGCATGTGTAAGGCAGTACTCATGGAGAGGTGGGAGTCTTTTACATCAACAGGGCTGGCAAATAATCAAGGACAAATGAGAGGGTATGTTTGTTTTTTGTTTTTCTCCACTGGAAAATCACTATTGATCTGACTTTTTTTCTCAAAATATAAAGCAGCAGACTGATGAATGTCACCTAAAAAAGCATAATGAACAATGCAATGAAGTTTTCCAGTCAATAGAAAATATCAGAGAATCTGATGTAACATAAAGACCGTTTTACCAGCAAACACTTGAGTATCTGCAATTTACCAAGGAAAAAGGAAATCACTCATTTGAAAGCATAACTATATGAGGGCAAGTCAATGTTACTTTCCAATTAGATATTTAAAATTCTGCTAAAGAAAACCCTAAAAACACAATAGAAATAATTAAGATTTTTTTAGCAATGTTCAATAAAAAAGATCTGTTCTTGCTTGATTCTCTACAAGAATGGTCTTACTTAAAGCACAGAGAATAAAAGCAAACATGCAGGAAAGAAGATGTAGTTTACTAAGTAAATTGAYTGAAATAGCTTGTAAACCAACAAACAGGTAACTGGTATAACAGATGTTTCCTTGGACAATTCATGTTTTGTGAATGACATAATAGAACTTGTATTTTTATAATGTAACTAGAAATTTATTTCCCGTTGTTTGTGGCTAGTTCTTTCACAACACCCAAYGTGTACATCCACTCTGAACAGCAAAGGATGATGACCCAGGAAAGGAGCCTACATCTTATCGTTAATATCCCAGATGAATTTGATGGGCAGACTCTCCATTTTCTTTTTCAGAACTTCATCAACCCTTTCACTCTGTGCTACTGTCATGAGGTTTTTCCAGTCTCCAACAGTGCCTGAGGAAAGAGAGGAAGTAAAGGGAGATGAGAAGAAGAACATGCACATGTTGAGAAAGCCTCCTTGCAAGCAGGGAGAGCTACTGGGGGAAGCGCTTTGYGCTTCCATCAGGATTTCCCTTATCACTGGTGTGCTGAGTGAATCTCTATTCTTCTGACAACACGCTTCTGAATCGAGCTGCTGTGCAGAAARTGCACAGACCTCTTAAAGGAAATCCCTTTGGTTTTGATGTGCCTACAGCCCTCTTCTTAATGCATAGCAGATCTTATCCTACATGGATTAGCAGAAAGTCTTATAAGCAATATCCAGGAGTCAGGAAGGAAGTTCTTGGAGCCTGAGAATTATTGCTCAAGAAGGTTGTGTTYGAGTTGTTAGTACCGCCCCTGCCTTGAAAAATAAAAAAGCAGTATGTATGTGGAGAAGATCTCCAAGCTAGCACTGTTGTCAGTCTTAGCTCAGTTGGAGATGCTGAAAGAAACATCTGTTTCTCTTTCAAAGACACTCTCCTCTACCCTGAAAGCCAATTTCTATTGCCTTGTCAGCAATATCATGTCAACAAGGATGCCTCCATCATATTACTCCTGACAAACTACAACCCACAGATRATTTCCTTTATGCAAGAGCACAGCATTAATTGGTGTTGCTATTGGGAAGATACTGCCCTTTTATTTTCCCCAGGATAATATAGGAAGATTGCTTATGCTCCACCTGGAACATTCTTCTGAATAAATATAATGGTACGAAACCTGAATTGTCTCTCTGCAAATGGGATTTCTTAGTTGAGACTAGAAATCCTCCMAAGCCAAGAGACATGAAATAGTCACATTGTCTTCCTGCTTCCGCTTTACCTTTACGTAGAAAGTGACCCTTTTTGTCTTCTTTGAGGTATCCTGGTATWTTCTCATAGTTTGCCCGGGGATCTTTCCTCATGTTCTCAAACGTAGCCTGTCTCACCACGCCTTCCACTTCCTCTTCACTCARCTGCTTGCCCAGGAAGTTGCAGATCTTGAGCACAGCACTTCTGAGATCCTACAATCAATGTCATATTCAAAATGTCTTTATGATGCAAACAGCCAAGGAGTAGGCAAAAACCTAAATAYGGCTTYGAATCTRWTTTGTGAGAGAGAGCACTTGTGATTAATTTGAGCAAATGGCCGAAGTGCTGTCTGAGGTGACAATAGCGTATTCTGCTCCCCACACTGTACACTCCTTGTGTGTCTCATGGTAGATGCTTC